TTAATTTTCAAAAAATTATTAACGTTTAAAAAGTTAAAATATTAAGAATATTCGTTGGAAAAAAAGATATGAATTTTCAAAGAATAAAATTTAAAACATCACAAAATTATTTATTTATACATTTTGCATATGATTAAAATTTTATACTTAGTAAAAAAAAATTCAATTATATAATAATACCTACATTTAAATTTTTTTACTATTTATTCTATTTTCTTACATATTTAAGATCAGATTTAATCAGATCTAAATTTATTTCTAAATTTTTTAGTATCTCTTTTCCCACACTGAAAAAAAATTTATTTGGTTCAAATAATCGATTACTTGACTATTATTAAATAAATATTTACTTCAACCAAATAATTATTATATATTTGAGTCAATTAAATGGTATTTGTTTCAAATACAGAAATTATTGCAAAGAAAAATTATTTGGTTCAATTAAATATTTATTTGATAATAGTCAAGTAATTGCGATTATTTGAAACAAATTTTTTTTTCAGTGCAACAAATATTATTATTATTATTATTATTATTATTATTAATAATAATAATAATATTTTAATTTTTTAAACGTTAATTAATTTTTTTTCTAGGAGGTCCGAATTCCTGGTTATAAACGTTCTTAAATAATGTAATTATGAGAAATTTTGCAAATTTCTTTAAGTAAAAAAATAATTAACCTTTGCTTTAGAAATTTAAGCATATTTACAGTATTGAAAATCAAGAAATTTTTTATAGTAAATTTAAAAAAAACCCAAACAGTAAAAAAGGGAAATTTTCTTTTTTTTTTGTGTAAATTTTAAACAAGAATTAAAAATTCTCCAACCGCTATCATCAGGAAGCAATAAATCTTAACGTGATTTTCCATTTAACTCTGAATCGTGACAATATTAGAGAACAAAGTCTAAACACACTCATTGATACAAAAGTGCAATATATTTACAGACAAAATCCATTTCAGTAAAATCGGTTTTATATTATATATATTCTTCAAAAAAAAAAAAAATTCTTATCTTTTTATAGAAAAATCTGTCCTAATCGCACAAATTATTCCTATATTTATTTTATAATTATAATAACAAATTAATATTATCAAAAAAAAGTATCCTTGAAATAATGTATTACATTATTTTGAGATTCTTTTCAATTTATATATATATATTCATTTCATATCTCTGTGAGAATTTAAGAAAATACAATGCGACTGTTTTATATTTCCGGTAGTTTTTGTATAGAGGCTCCTTGTAATCTATAATCCTCGCTTATACATGAATTGTAAAAAAATAAAAGTGCAAGTCATGAAAAGATTATCTAAATATTTTTTTATAAAGTAAGCGAATTCCTTAACTTTGTAAATTTTGCTTGTAATGCTGTAATTTATTTTGTTTTTTGCAAATTTTTGATAAAATTATATAAATAACGGAAATCACAAACACATATACATACACAGTAAATAGCAAAAATATTTATGTGCAATTCCATGAGTTTTTTTTTTATCACTTTTCGAAGTAACCTTTCCAAATTAAATGAAACATTTTTTTTTATAATATTTATTAATATAAAGGTCCAAAATAATCACTTTTTAAGTAAAAACAATTGTTTATTTAAAAAATACAACAATAAATAATGAAAAAAATTCACTTTTTTTTCTGCACCACCAAATAAATTGGTTTAAAGATCAAAATTTTCTTTATTTTTCAAACTTTCATACCGCACAAGAAAAATGTCATAATTCGAAATAGTTAACCAACAATTTATTAAACAATGTTTGTTAACTTTTTTGTATTTTACTTACTGTGAAACGTCTGCTAACGCTGCGCGCGACGTTCGAAAGTTGTCGCTCTCGTTATTGAGCAGAAGCTCATTACACTAGCGTAGTAGAAAGCATGTTGTGCGAAAAGTGAGGTTATGTTGTCATTAAACGAAACGTAAACATTTCTGGTTATCACATTGAATGGTTTTTAATTATCTACTTTGCAGTAAAAAATCAGAAAAAAACATTTTTGAAGGATGAAAAACCTCACTTTTCACACATGTTTTTTACTACGCTAGTGTAATGAGCTTCTGCTCAATAACGAGAGCGACAACTTCCGAACGTCGCGCGCAGTGTTAGCAGACATTTCACAGTAAGTAAAATACAAAAAAGTTAACAAACATTGTTTTAAAATTGTTAGTTAACTATTTCGAATTATGACATTTTTCTTGTGCGGTATGAAAGTTTGAAAAATAAAGAAAATTTTGATCATTAAACCAATTTATTTGGTGGTGCAGAAAAAAAAGTGAATTTTTTTCATTATTTATTGTTGTATTTTTTAAATAAACAATTATTTTTACTTAAAAAGTGATTATTTTGGACCTTTATATTAATAAATATTATAAAAAAAAATTTTCATTTAATTTGGAAAGGTTACTCCGAAAAGTGATAAAAAAACTCATGGAATTGCACATAAATATTTTTATGTAACAAAAAAATATTTCAAATTAGGGTCAGTTGGGGTAAATGGGGACAAGAGGTTTTGGAGCTTAATTTACAGTTTTAAAATTAAGTTTAACGTCAATTTTTTAACCTCAGATCATCTGCAAGAGGTTTTGAGTATTACCAAGCTTTTATCATGACAATTGGCAGCAAGATAAAAAAAGTTATCGCTCAATGCAGAAAAACTTGAAAATCAAAGTAAAACTGTTTCAGTATTTTGTCGAGCATTTCAAAGAAAACAGACTTAAAAATCATAGCAAATTTTTTTCTTATTCCTTATGACTCCCATAACAGAAATTAACTTGAATTTTGGATTTTTGTCAATTTGTTTAATAATGACAAGCTGTCCCCATTTACCCTGAGTTTTCAAATTTTTGGGGTAAATGAGGACAGCTTGTCATTATTTACCAAATTGAAAAAAATCAAAAATTCAAGTGAATTTCTGTTATGGGAGTCATAAGGAATAAGAAAAAAATTTGCTATGATTTTTAGTCTGTTTTTTTCAAATGCGAGACAAAATACTGAAATAAAAAAAAAAATAAAAAAAATAAAAAAATTTCAATTGGTTCAATTATTATATATCTACTACAAATTTTTTTTCAAGTTTTTTCATCCCTAAATACAGTAATATATACTTAAGGAAACTTTTTTCTTAAAATTTTCTTAGAAACTATGCTGTCCCCATTTACCTGAAATTTTATGAAATTTTCTAAATTTTGGGGTAAATGGGGACAGTCAGTTTCATGCGTTTAAAGTTTATCTAAATTTTTTTCTGCTGCATAAAATTAATCCTGGGAACGTAAATAACAACTTAAAAAAATATAAACCCGCAAATATTATACCTTTTAAAGGAAGAAACTTACGTGATTTGTGAAAAATAGCGTTTTTGTCCCCATTTACCCCAACTGATTTTATAATAGTTTTTTTTACAGTTTCCTAATTAATAAATATGTTAATAAATTACTTAATAATTAAACAATTATAAAATAATAAATAAAAGTATTTATTAATTTAAAATAAATAAAAATAATAAAACAATAAAATTAATATGAAAAAAAAAGAAATAACAAAAAGAGAATGCAGAAAAAATTAATTTTTTTCATTTTTATAATAAATAAATAATATAATAATAATATTTATTTATTTGAAAACATACACGGGTTCAAACGAACCCTTTTTTTACATAGATACTGATAAATAAAAAAAATAATAAATAAGAATAATAAAATAAAGAAAAAATGAATTTTATTCATTTTTACCGCAGTTTATTTGTGTTATTTATATTTTTAATATGTTCTTTTTTACTTGACTCGGAAAAAATGATTTTTTATATCACTATAATTGTCGACCGCGAGTAATAAATTCATCAATATATAATAAATTTTTTTTTATTTTAAATTTTGAATAATTTTAAAACTTGTTTTATAATTTCAAATTACTTATTGTGAATATAAAAAAAAAAAAAGAAAAAAATAGTAAAAATTTTCCAAATTATAAGCTTTAATTCTTGATAATAAATTATCAATCAAAAGCATTAGGAATTATTGAAGTGAAATGGCTTAGTTTAGAATTTTATATAGCTAACCTTTAGTTATCATCATAGGTTAATTGATTCACATGTGATATGTATAACAGTTTTTATAGTGTCTTTGAACCAATTTATGAAAATTGTTTACACACACACTTTTATTACAATTTATACAAACATAAAAAAAAATTTAATATTACACTATATATTTAATTTACATTTGTGGAAAAAATATTCAATTATAGAAATGATTTCCTTGCCAAAATGTTGCCTTGTGTAATATTTTTATTGAACAAAAATTTTATTAAAAGTAAAAAATTAAAATATAAAATAAAATAATAATTTTTAATAATTTAAAATTTTAAAACATTTGTATTTTTTATATATGTTAGAATTAAATTATTTATTTTAATATCAATGAAAAATAAAATAAAGAATGCATCTATATTTATGTTAGAAAACAAAGTAAAAAAAAGAGACTTTGCTGCAAAAAAAAAACTGTTATTATAAAGGGAACAGAAACTGTTATCTAAATATTGTTATCAAGAATATAATTAGAATTGTGTAACTAAAAGTAGTGAAATTTTATGAGTTTTTTCTTCTTTAAATAGAACATCGAATTCAATATATTTAATTTTAATAATTTAATAAAAAAAAAAAAATTGATTTTTGTTTAGATAATTAAAACAAAATTTCACTAAGTTTAAATTTGATGAATTAATGTTTTTAAAGTATTCAAAAACGTAATAATATCAATTTTCACAGTAAATTATAAATTTATATTTTTATAAAATTAAATTTACACAAATTAGTATTTAAATATTAATTTTTAAGTGAAAAGAGCGGTTATTGCAAATTACAGTCATATATATATATATATATATAGTCACCTTGAAAAATTGTAACCACGTGAGACACGTGAGAATGTGTATGAAATGTCAAAAATGATTTGTTTTTAATACTTATATATATAGAAAGAAAATAAACTTTTACCTCTTTTTTGTTTTGCAATCAAATAAATTATAGAATTTCTTTTTACACACACAACGATGACACTAGAGAACTTTGATAATTGCACTTGATTAACTTTATGAATAGTTTTTTATTTTACTATTTTTTCATTTAACACTAATTTTATACTACTTTTAATTTAGAAATTAAAAATAAAATTTAAAAATAATAATTAGCGCTAGAAGTAAAGAGTCATCTGGTCCAAACTTATTAAGGCACTGAGAATGAAGATGAAAATACACTTGTTTCTCATGAAAACGGTTAGCGGTATCTCTTCCCCTTCCACTTTTATATAATCAGAGCTGCATTAACTCAAAAATGTGCCCTAAGCTAATAAATTATATATTTTCACTAAATTATTGTTATTTAATTTAATTTAATAAATATTTAATAAATATTATTTAATTTATTATTTAATTAATTATTATTTATAATAATTATTATTTCATTAATAATTAATTTATATAGAAAGTTTTTCTAGAAGTATTGTTTATTTATTTTTTTTTTGTTAGATTTCTTTTATAATTATAATTTTTTTTGCATTAAAAGAAACATTTATTGGCTAGTTTTAAAAAAAATCTTGTTATCAGAAGCAACAATTTTGAAATTAATTTATATTATTATTCAGCACGATATTTTAATAAAAAAATGTAGTAATTAGAATTTTAGTTTAAAAATTTATTTTTTTAATAATTTATCAACAATTGTAGCAAATTAATTTAAAATTTTAATTCATATAAAAATTTTTAAATTAATTTGCTCATTTGTAATACTTTATTGACAATTATCACATTATTTATATTTTTGTTATTAATAATTATATCATTAACAATTTTATAAGAAAAATATAATTTTAATTATAATTTACAATTTTAATGAAAAATTATAATTCATAATTTTATAATTATAACAGCAATTTTTAATATCAGAATCAATTACCGACTATCAGTATATTTACCATTGAAGAATCAGTTACCATGTGATTCAATTTATAGGTAATAAATGTAAATGTGTCGGTAATGTATCACTTGGACAAAACTTTTTGAATTCTTGGAATTTTAGAATCAGTGATATAAAGTGAGATATTTAGATTTTCAGGATTTTTTAAATTTACAGCACCAGTAGTAGATACCTATATGATTTTTTTATTTTATTATTTTTTAGACATCATTTTTCAGAATTTTTTTAAATTTTTTGCCGAGTTTTTTGCATTTATTTTCTTTTTAATTTATGGTTCCAGTAGTAAACAGACATTTTAGTCGGACATAACGGTTCAACTGATTGAACCCTCAAAATAAAAATTGATTTTATAACCAAATAAAACTATAATTAAATATTAATTTTACTAAATCTTGAAAGATCCAGTTGTGCAATTTAAAAAAATATATATTTTCACATAAAATTTCTTCTCGCAATATAATAATAATTTTACATTTTGTGTTTATTGTTCAAATAAGTTAGTCCTAGTAAGGCAGCACCATCTGATATCGAAACTAAAATTTCGTAAAATTTTCCACAGTATTTACTTGAAAACAAGACAATAAAATGCTTTTTTCCTTTAGAATAATTGATTATTGCCAAGAAATACACCAGCTAAAACTTTTTTTCTTTTTGAGTTAAAATATAATGAAAAAAAAATTAATGACGATAAATTAAGTATGAGCATATTTTTTTTACATTCTGCCAACAGGCAAAACAAAATAAAAGTTTTTGTTGTTATTTTCGTGATTGTTGAATCTTAGCTGGTGTATTTTTTAGTATTTATTAATTCTCCAAATAAAAATTACATTATTTTTTGTTATTTCCGAGAAAATATTTTAAAAGTTTTCGTAAAAAAAAAAAAAATATGCTCATATTTAATATATATCGTCATTAATTTTTTTTCATTATTTTAACTCAAAAAAAAGTTTTAGCTTGTGTATTTCTTGACGATAATCAATTATTCTAAAGGAAAAAGCATTTTATTGTCTTGTTTTCAAGTAAATGCTGTGGAAAATTTTACGAAATTTTAGTTTCGATATCAGATGGTGCTGCTTTACTAGGGCAGCACTAAACTATATTGTAATTTTTATACAATTTTTACAAACAAAAAGCTCATTTTTCACCTTTGAAAGATTCTCTAAAATTTTGTTTCTTGGTTTTTATTAAATAATATTTTGTACACATAACCTCAAAAAAATTACTGTCATTGATATTTATATATATTTTTCAAGTTAATTTTATGACTTTTTCTCTTAAGGGCATGTTAAAGTCGAAGCAATTTTTACATAGAACTTCAATGGAAAAATCGCATTGACTTTGACCTACCCTTAAAATAATTTAAATGACATTTTATGACAGGAAAAGTCCTTTCTTACAGAAGTACTTCTTAAAATAGGCGCATAGTAAAAAATTCAGTATTAATTCACGTAATGCTGAGGTTAATCTGTTTAAATTTTTATAAAAAAATTCAAATTAAAAATGAATTATATTCAGTTGTTTTCTTAGCCTAAAAAATATTAATTGAAAATTTTTTTTGAATTTCCTTTTTTTAATAAATGAAATAAATATATACATTAAAATTTCAATTTTCAACATTCGAATTTATTAAACAATTTCCACAAAAAAATTTTTTTAGATCTTTTTTTTATTGCGTGTTCAATAAAAAATAGCGTTTTTGTGGTTATATAATTACCCCGGTTGGCGGTAATTATTATTTAACAACAAATTTTGACTCAAAATTCTTTTTAAATTGTACAACTTAATTTTACAAATTTTGATGAAATCAATTTGAATAATATAATATAGCTTTATTTGTTATATTATTATATTATACCTATATAATAATATATATATATATATATATATTAATATATTATTATATTATTTCGTCTTTTTTTGAATATCATCAGATGATCTGAAAATAAAATTTTATTAAAATTAATAGAATATTCACCTGATAGAAAAAGAGTTTAATTTATAAATTAATTAATTACGGTGTTTGCATTAGATGATTTGTCCTCTTCTTTAATAAAACATTTATAAAATTTTTTAATGGAAACTCTATAACGATTGCAACGAATAATGCGAGGCACGCTGAGTAAATAATATCAGCTATAAAATATTTAATCTGTAAATATGGAAACATTTTTTACTTAAAACTTTAGTACATATTTAATATTTTAATTTCATTCTAAAAATTTGATATTTATAAAGTTCTATCAAATAGAAATTCGATGTTTTTACGATTCTATCAAAATGATAATGCTAAAGTCCGCATAACGTTTTTATTTTATTACTTTGGCCTAAATTTAAAATTATTTAATAACTGCCTTCTTTAAAAGTATCAATTTCTTGAAAGTTTGTGCAAATCAAAATTGAATATAAAATAATTGACCTGAAAAAATCATTCTATTTTAATTTTTTTCTTTTAAAAACGTTGCAGACTTCAGCTTCATTCAAAATGACAATTCGGACAAATAAAAGTTCAGTCACTTGAAGTTTCAGTGAATAAGAAATTCTTTCGCTTAAAAATTCAGCTAAGTAGAATTTCTGTTAAATATTTAGAAATTTTCTTTAATTAAAGTTTTGTTAAATAGAATAAAGGACCCTGCACTTTTTGTATTAAAATTAACTCTCAGCCAATTTTTTTGTAACTTTGCTCTTTTGTAGCTTTTCACCTCCTAAACAAACAATGTATATGACAAAACTCAAAATAATGATCAGTTTTTGAGATACAGCGGTCCAAAGTTGAAAAATAATTAAATAATGCAATCCAATTTTACTTATTTTAATCTATTTTTGCTTATTTTAATCCATTTTGTTATTAAAATAAGCAAAATTGGATTAAAATAATAAGCGTTGCAGTTTATTTTAATGCCTTTTAATTTTCTGTGTGTGTATTGAATACATGAGATTGTTTTGCTGCCATAAATCAATTAAACCGACTTGAAAATGGTTACTCGGGGGTTTTTGGGGTCGCTGATTACGAATCCAGTGTCATTTTTAAAAAATTCAAAATGCCGGATCCAATATGGCGGACGACTTTTTGAAAAATACATCAAATTCACTTGAAACTCTTTACTTGGGGGTTCAATTAGAAAAAAATTTCCATTTTCTCTTTTGGGGATGAGACAAACTGTTATTATTTTGGAAAAAAAAATTCTCACCATTTTGTATTTTCGATGCCACAAATAGAGGTATTGCTGTAAAAAGGAGGAGGTTAAATCTTATTTCTTTTGGCCAAAAATATCCATTTTCTCTTTAGAGGGATGAGACAATTATTATTTTTTATTTCAAGCGAAATGGATCAATCTTTAAAAAACTCATCCGCCATTTTGTATTTTTAGAAACTAACATTAAATTCGTAATCAGCGACCCCAAAAACCGCAAAAGTAATCAGTTTCAAGCCGGTTTAATTGATGTTTAGCAGCAAAACAATCTCATGAATTCAATACACATACTTAATTATTTTTCAACTTTTTGGATCGCTATATCTTAAAAACTGATCATTATTTTGAGTTTTGTCATATACATTTTTTGTTCAGGAGGTGAAATGCTACAAAAGTGCAAAGTTACAAAAAAATTGGCTGAGAGACAATTTTAATACAAAAAGTGCGGGGTCCTTTGATAAAAGAATAATTCTGCTAAGGATTTTTTATAGAAATTTTGCTAAACATAAAATCTGTTAAATGAAAATTGTATTACTTGAAAATCTGATTTAAAAAATTACAAAAATTCCGATAGATATGCATCTCAAAAATAATATTACTTGTTTTTATAGATAAGTTTTTACACAATTGCTGTTACTTATTAAAATATTTCAAACTTACTGAATTGTAGAACGAGAAAATAGGTGATGTTCTTGCTGTTCCAAATTCATAATGATGCATTACCAAATGAACAAGATAAATTGAGTAAGTGATTCTAGAAAAAGGTTGCAGCCATTTTGCTGTTAAAATATTGTAGGAAAAATCTAGAACAGAAATACACAAATTTCAATTATTATTATTATTTATCGCCATCTTATTTTTCTGTGACGTCATCGCCAATATATATTAATTTGTCTTCCAATTTTCTTATGAAAATAATATTTTGATTTTATGAAGAAGTCTAAAAAATGATGAATAGGAAGTATCATCATTATCCAGTGGATAATGAAACAAAATTTTATAAAATATGATAATTTTCCATTTACCCATGCCATCACCAATTGTAAAAATAAGTGGAACGAGACATACACCAATTGCAAATATTGGTCTTTGGAGACTTGAATATAAGGCTTTATAAAAGGCAGATATTTTCAAATTTGGATTTACAAAAATTGTCGCAATCCACATTGTACTAAGAATTATCACAAATGTGATAAAAAATATAATTTTTGACCATGTCTAAAAAAAAAAAAAATTAACCAAATAAATATTAAAAATTAAAAGTCAGATAATAATATTAATCTTTATTTAATAACAATAATAATTATTTTCATTTACCTCTGAAAGACGCCAAGTAAATTTCTTATAGTCATAAATAAAAGCTCCGAAAATTATTCCAATAACATATGCAGCCAAGCGAAAATGAGTTTTTACGTAGTAATTAAGAAAATAATCACTATCTTCTACTCTTCTTGGACTATGGAAAAAATTTATTATTAACTAACTAAAATGTACATCAAGAGACAAATTTTTTAGCTAATTATTATTTTTTTCTTTTAGTTTATAATAAATGAGACTAATTATTGTAGAAAATATATAATTCTTACGTTGCAACTGATTTATAAAATGCTTCTAAATCATGTTTATATGAGTAGTAAAATGGAATTGCAGTCGAAATAATTAAGGTACAGCATAAAAATAAATAACCAATTTTTCGTGGTATTTTGTGAAACGTTCTAATTAAGAATAATCCAATTATATAACATTGAAAATCCACAGATAAATACCAAGACTGTATCACGCACTAAATAAAAATAAATAGAATAGTTATATAAAAGTTACAAACAATTATAAAATATACTCTCTAAATCTGAATTAGTAAAAATGTTTATTAATTTAAATTAGTGACTCGCTTTTTGCTTTAGAATTAGTTAAATTTTACTAATTGTTAGTAAAAGTTACTAATAATTAGTAAAATTTCACTAATTCAGAAGGAAAAAGTGAGTCACTAATTCAGATTTAGAGAGTATGTTCTTTCACAATACCTTATTGTTATCACCAAAATAATTATTAATGAAAAATAAATTCGTCCACCAATAAGAAGAACAAGTATCTCGACTTAATCCCATAAATAATTCCCAAAATGGTCCCGAACCTAATCGATGAAGTACAGTTGCATATGCAAATGTAATAAACATATAAAGTGGTAATAATCTGTTAAATTAATTATTAATATTAAATAATAAATACAATTTTTATGAAAATATAAAAAATTAAAATTTTTAAAAATACATAAAAAAATTTGTAAAATAGTTAAAAATTACTTTTTTTTTTCGTTTTTATAGTGAAATGTTATTACAGGTTAAAATATTTGTTTTTCTCAATTTCTTGCAATTATTTGTGTATATACCTCAATAAACGTTTTAAAACCAGAAAAACGAAATTAAATTTTTTTGTTTCACTCCAATAACCCAATAAAGAATAGGACAATAACATTCCTCCCAAAGCGAAGAATCCATCTATAACCAAAGGACCATTTTGTAGTAATCCAAAAATGTACTCAGACAAAACCTGTAGAATTATTAATGAAACATAAAATTCAACAAATTTAATTTATTTCACTTATTTGTAACTTGATATTCTCGAATAAAATATGCAGATATTTTAGTAAATTTCAAAATTTATCATTTATACCTAAATAATTATAATAATTTTTTTTTTTTTAATAAAAATTAAAAGTAATCATTTTTTTTTTTTAAATGATTTTATAAGTAATACCCATTCAAAATATGATCCAGAAATAGTTCCCATATAAACATATTGTAAATGCCTGTGACCAAGAACTACAAGTCCTGCTAAAAGAACTCGAATAAAATGAATAGTATTAAATCCTCGATGTTCATAATTAATTTTAAAAATTTCATTAAAATTTTTACGAGCAGAGAAGGAGAGAAGCAAAGAAAGATTTTCGTTTTGGTCAAAATTTATATCAATAACAGTGCTGATTATGACCATTGTTAACATTAATAGGAATAAAAAACTGTAAATTAAGAAATTATTTAATTAACAGTTGGTTATTATTTCTAAATATAAAAAGTAATTTTATACAGTATAGTCAATTTATTTTTAATTTATCGAAATATCATAAACATCATCTTCAGAAAATTAAAAAAAAAATTTATTTGACTCAAATAATTTTTTTTACTTAACTTGACTATTATTTAATAATAAATATATTTTCTACTATATTTTTTAGGTGACAAAAAGGTTATAAAAAAACTAACAGTTAAAATCAATTAACGTATATTTATGCAAAATAACTAATTTATTGTATATCTATATTTCAAATTTTAATCTATGATTGAAGCATTTATAATTTAAAATTTGTGTATTGAATTTTAGATAAATTGAAACTTAAATTAATCAAAATTTAGACATTTTTGGTCTCTTTCTTCAAAGTGCGTCAAATATTTATTTAAATTAAATAAAATGTATACAAACTATTGAAATGGATTATATAAATAAATATATATACATTATTTGAATCAAATAAATTTATTTTTCAGTGTAGTAATTTGTTACTATGTTATTTTTTTCAGTAAAAAAATTAAAAATTCCTTACCAGAAAATTTTATCGTAAATAGAAAATTCTGGTGTTTCTCTAGAGCAATAAATAGGTAAAATTGATGCTTCAATTTGAAGATTATATTCTATGCCAAATTCATCCAAAGGTTCTTTTAACGCTGCAACAATGTTCTCCGTTTGACATTTTGCTGGAAAACACAATGCCATTTGCAAAAAATACCTTGGGTACCGTCGATAATCGCCTTTTTCCTAAACAAATCATTTTGTCAAGAAAAGTAGTAAAAACTATTAATTAAATTAGTATTAAAAATAATAACTACACCGAAAAAAATAAAATCTCCAAATGAGAAGAAAATTCCGCTCATAAATTACTTTTACATTTTATTTTCAATATACGAATATTCATCTACAAAAAGGAGGATTTTTCTTCTTTATTTGAGAATATTTTTATTAAATGATAACTTTTAATATTTTCTCTTTGATTGAATTTATTCATTTGCATTTAAGATTTTTTTTCTATAATTGAAATTATTCCTCTCAAAATGAAACAAATTTATGCTGTAAAAAAGATTTTTGTAGTTTCATTTTGTTTTGTTGCGCGCATCTTCAAACTGTTTGAAAAGTGACAGTTCAAAATAAAATGGACAACGAGCTGAAAAATCTGTTATCTGAAATTGGACTTTCTACATTAATTATTTAATTAACAAATTTTTCACTGAAAATTAAGGTTTTAATGTATAAAAAATTATTTCTATTCATATTAAAAACTGTGATAAATTTATTATAATTTATCAACAATGCGATCTGTTTAACCCCTATTTTTTCTAGGGTTAGAATTTAATAATATTCAAATCAGAATTGATTATTTCATCAATTTGATCTCTACACTATTTTAAAAATATATTTACTTTGATTTAAATAATCCATTAACTTTTTTTCACTTGAATACTGAGCACTTTATTTTAAAATGAACAAAAACTAAAAACATTTTTAACAACCTGAAAATCTTTGGTACTTTATTGTATAAAAACTCAGCTCGTGTTTTCGCCGTCTATATTTTTTCTCCAAAAATGGTTCCTTTCATTATAAATTACTTAATCCGAGTAATAACGAGTAAATTAAATCATAAATTTCTTTTAACCCTGTAAAGAAGGTTGACATTTCTGAATTTGACGTAAGTTTGAAACAAGATGAATAAATCTTTATTTGAAATTATTCCTCTCAAAATATAAAAGAGGAAAATCCTCTCAATTAGATATGAAAACTTTAGTGCCCATATATAAAAGGAAAAGTTGCTGCAAAAGAAGAGGAATCCTCTAAATTTGAGAACTTTTTTTTTTCGGTGTATTAATACTATTAGTAATAGTAAAAAAAAACTATAAAATATAGTAAAAAAAAAACTATAAAATATAGTAAAAATAATAAATAGTATAACACAAGTTTCAAGCGAATTCCCGTGTGGAAATCTTCCCAAAGTCGCTCAAAGTGAGACTTGGCTTCCCAAAGTTTGAAAAATCTTCTATTATATTAAGTTCACAAATTTCCAAAAGCGCCACCGTGACCTCGACACCGTCCTTGGAAAATTTATTTTCACTTATTTTCAAAAAAATCAAAATACTTTGCCATATGCTTTTAGAAAATCTTACATACTTTTTTTTGTAACATGTTTTTTCAATTTTAACCCGAAAAAGGGTTATTTTGCATTTTCATCCTAAAAAAGGGTTATTTTGCAATTTTATGCAATTTTTTACGAATTTTTGGATATATACCTATAAAATTACTCTATTTTTAAAAAGTTACTTATAAACAATATTTTACTAATTTTTTATGGTTTTTTTTTATTATTTATTGTTGTTTTTTAAATTTTTAGTTAGGAACCTATAATATTGTGCCTAATTTTAAGTGTCATTGAAATCATTTGTTTTTAATTTAATAATTTTAATATTTCTTATTTTAAAACGAAACATCTTCTATTACCTATATTAAGTTAACTTTCCAAACGAGACACCGACACCGTGACCTCGACACTGTCCTTGGAAAATCTATTTTCACTTATTTTCAAATAAATCAAAATATTTTGCCATATGCTTTTAGAGAATCTTATATACTTTTTTTTGTAACATGTTTTTTCAATTTTAACCCGAAAAAGGATAATAAAAATAAAAACCGATATTTTAAAAGGTTTTTCGATTTATTATGAACATTTTTCTAAAAAATTTGCAAAATCTCCATGTGTTTGTGGGGCAATTTACAGCTATATAATATAATATAATACAAGATAAAAAAAAATATTATAATATAATATAATTTAGGGTAAGTGTACTAATTACGGCGCGTTCATAAAAAATAACTATTATTACTATTATATTTAATATAACTGTTACCAAATAATTAAAAAAAATTATTTCAATCTTTTTTTGATACAAATACTTATAAAGATGCACATTTAAACAATTATTAATTTAATTATTTGAGATCAAATTTTTTTCCGCGCCGCAATTGAAACATTTTTAAGATTTCCATTGGCTTCAATTTTGGCGGGCAAAGTATCTTCAAAATACACGTAATTTTGGTCACCGCAATTGATACACCGAAACTGATACAAACTCGCCGCAATAGAAAATTACGGTATTAGTTTTAATTTCTCATATTTGTTTAAATAATCGATTTTTATAGAGTTAAATTTTTTTTTTAATATCTTAATAACATAAGCTTTAAGTTTAATAAGTCTTAAATTGAGTTTATACAATAGAAATGTCGAATTTTCTATTTCAAAGGTGTTTTGACTCGAATCTCGCCGCAATTAGTGCATTTACCCTATATTGTTGTTATAATTATAATAAATTAAAACATTTAATATTTAACAATTGTCATTTCATCCTTCATTGATACTGATCAAAATTAAGATAAATTTTATACAATATTAATAATATATTAATTTAAAACATAAATTATATATATATAATATATATATATATATATATATATAATTAAATTATTATTTAAATAATATGCTGAAGAAATATAGAAAAAAGCGCAACTGTGAAAAGCTGAAAAAAATGTTTGTTTTTCATTGTACTTGGGCAAAGTTTGGGTCAACCCAACCTGGCCCCAACTGGGATTTCCCAAAGTATTCCCAAACTCAAATTTAATTTAATATTCTGTTATAAATAAATAAAAAACTTGAGAAATAATAAAACTAGTTAATTATATTTATATTTAATTTATATGCCGTTTGGAGATTTTTCCAAAAGCCAATATGGGAAAAATTCACATTTAAGGAAAAATAAGGAAATTGAAAACTTTAGTTAATTATATTAATGCTTAAATAATAATACTTAGTTCTTAGTTTTTAATTTATTGATCTAAGCTAATTAATAATAATAACTTAGTCGTTTTTTGAGTTTGGGATTTCCCACTCTGACCCCATTCTCAATCATTTATTTCCTATTTTTATTCAATTTATTAATAATAATTGAACAAAATTTTGACTTGAACGACAACTATACTTTGGTACTTATTAATTACTGGTAAAAATGTTAAATTAAAATAAATGAAATTAAGTAAGTGATTATATTTTAATTTATTGTCTAACCCAATCATATTTTTCACATCTTTGATACTGAGAAATTAAAACTTGTCTGCAGGTACGCGTCGTTAGCATAGTGGTTAGAGCGTTAATCTATAAGTCCGTAGGTCGTAGGTTCGATTCCCCTCGTGCGCAGTTTTCTTTATTTCATAGGTTTGCGTTATTTCTAGATTTTCATTTATAAGTTGTACCAAAATTTGAAAATCTAATACATACACTATTATTTCATTTTTAAATTATATAAATATTTTTTTTACTTTTTTTTACTATATACATTGTTTGTTAGTCGTCATCTTTGATACAATTTAATTTAAAAGGAAATTATATTTATTCATTTAATTTACTCTATTTTGTTGTTAAATTATTTATATAATTATTAATTAACAATTATAAATAAAAATGGAATAACTCAATCTGGCCCCAGCTGGGATTTCCCAACCTTGGGAAATCTTTGGGATCAGCGTTACGCGCCCAGTTTGGGCGTTGTCTGGGTTGACCACTTTGGACATTGGGAAACCCAGTCTAGACCAGATTGGGGCCCAGTCGACTTTTCCACACGGGTTTGATCAATTTTGAAAATTTATTCTGACATTTAAAAATTTTAAAAATCGAAATTGGATTCCTATTCAAGCGTATACTTTTTTCTGTATAAAAATGATAAAAAAATAAATTCGGTATAAATATAATAAAATTACGCTTACTCTGATTGCTTCCCATGCAGAAACTTGTGGATTAAAAAATAATTTATATTCTTCAATAAACTCTGATTGTTCATTTTTTTCTTTAAATTTTACATCCACTAAACAATATCTACTGCGTATTTCCTCAATTTTTCCATCTTTATTATTTATTACTTTTGTTTGAATTCCATTGCATTGATCGAAACTTCCCAAATGACGAGTAAAACCATAAAAAACTCCATAAGGATATTTTGCTGAAGAATCGAACACTGAAATATTAAAGATATATTTAATTTTTGAAATATATATATATATATATATATATATATATCTACCTATATTACAAAAAGATATCGCCGCCAACGCCGCCGCCCCGCTGTTCCAAGACTCTGAATATAGCCGCAAGTCAAGAGAAGGGGGGGGGGGGGTTGAAGAGAAGGGAGAGGGGGGACTTGCGGCTATATTCAGAGTCTTGAAACGAACATAACCTTTAAATTTAGGGTGGTGGTGGGGAAAAGGAGGGGAAGAGAGGAGGGGGATGGGGGTTGGCGCGCGAAGCGCGCAGGGGGCATAGCCCCCTAGTATATATATATATATATATATATATATATATATATATATAATAATGTAAAAATAAAATTCTACAAAAATAATTCTAAAATCCCAATTTTTAGGGACGTATAATATTATTACCCACATATTAGACCCATTGGAATTTTTTTCGCATTTTTATTTAGAATTTTATAAAGTGGATTTTATTAATGAGTATTTAACTAAAATATTAATTTTATTGATTCAAATAAAAATTATTTGGTTCAAGTAAATATTTATTTCATAATAATCAAACAATCGATTATTTGAATCAAATAAAATTTTTTTTTCAGTGTACGATTCTTCATATTCTCAAATTTTTATTTTTAATAATTATAATTATAATTATTATAAATTATAATTGATAACTTATTTATTTGAAAATTCGATGTGTTAGAAAATATGATTTATAAAAATTTAGTTAAATGGAAATTCTATTAAATTAGAATTTCATTTGGGTCAGTTGGGGTAAATAGTGACAAAATCGCTTTTTTTCACAAATTACGTAAGTTTCTTCCTTTCAAAGGTAATATTTGCGGGTTTACTTTTTTTAAGTTGTTATTTACGTTCCCAGGATTAATTTTATGCAGCAGAAAAAAAAATTCAAGTGAATTTCTGTTATATAGGAGTCATAAGGAATAAGAAAAAAATTTGGTATGATTTTTAAGTCTGTTTTCTTTGAAATGCTCGACAAAATACTGAAACAGTTTGACTTTGATTTTCAAGTTTTTATGCATTAAGCGATAACTTTTTTTATCTTGCTGCCAATTGTCAAGATAAAAGCTTGGCAATACTCAAAACCTCTTGCAGATGATCTGAGGTTAAAATATTGACGTTGAACTTAATTTTAAAACTGTAAATTTAGCTCCAAAACCTCTTGTCCCCATTTACCCCAACTGACCCTAAATGGAAATTATTTAATATGAAAATTCGGCTTATTAAATTAATTTTATAAAATTCTGCTAAATAAAAATTCGATAATTTTTAAATTCGACACCACAAAAATTCCAAGTCTAATGTGATGAAAAAAAGAGAAAATTATGCTGTAATAACTTACTTTCAGTCGCCCATAAAGTGCCATTTTTTAAATGATCAAGATATAATTGTAATTGTCTTTTACAAGCGCCTTCGGGAATTGAATTCGAAGTTGCAACTATTACCGGTAAAAGTGGTATATTTAAAAACCAAGGAAATTTTTTATCACTTTCACTATTTTCAAAATTTAAACTATTCCTTAAATTCAATTCATTTAATAGTGTATAATTATTTGCATTATTATTTTCAATGTGTTTATCAATTTTCAAATCTGCATTGTAAACTTGTATTTCTTCTTCAGAAAATGTTACTTTCCCAAATGTCACTGGCAAAATTTGTAAATTAAAACAAAGAAATGAAAAAATAACACAATTTTTGAAAAAAAACATAATCTTTTGATATTTTTAAATTTGAAAAATATCAAAGAAATTTTGAATTACAAATAAAAGTAAAGTAAATATTTTTGATAGTTTATACAAAAATAAATACAAATTTCATAAAATTTAATTATTTTACTAATTTCACTTTGTTAAACTTAAGATATCTTTTCATACATTGTACACTTTAAGACAAGATTTTACTCTGATAAATAAAAATAATACCTTGATAATTATTATACCTGACCGTGAAGTTTATATTTGAAAAAAATTATTCATTTGAAATATTTTATTTAATAATATATGCAAATAAGAATTTTTAATTATTTGTTGCTCAGTATTAAAATGCAAAAAATTCATTATAGTTTGCAATTATTCAGTTATTCTTGCATCAATTAAAAAAAAAAATTCTAATTATAATCTATTTAAAATCTTTTGAATGCGAAAAAAATTTCGTTGAATGTTAATGTCATTTCTTGATAAAAAATATAAATAATTATACATTTCCTTGATTTTTGCTCCATGACCTATGATCAATTATTGCTTTTACATCCGACTTTATTATATTAATGGTGATAATTAGTTTTAGCAAGATGTTCTTTATTAGATTTTAGACAATTATAAAAGAAAAAAAAACAGTACCCGTGTGGAAAAGTGATGTGGGCCCCCAGCGGGGGCCCTTATGGATCGCCCTCATGCCATGAGGGCCGCATATGGATGATCCATAGGGGCCCCTCATGGAAACGACATGCTCATCGATGAGGGCGCCCGCATGGGCGATCCATGAGGGTGCCCCTACGGGCGCCCTTATGGGCCCTCACGTTTGCCCTCATCTTGCCCTCAAGTTTGCCATAATGTTTTTTAATCAATAATATTAATAATAAAAGTTAATTAATAATAAATAAGCTTAAGTTATGAATAAATAACATATTTATTTAATAATTATTCAATTTTAAATTAAATTCTTACTCAAATTGAATTTATTAATTAACGTTCTAATTAATTAACTGTCGGATATAATTAAAAGTAATAATAAATAAATTAATTAAAAAATTAAAAAATATGTAATTTATGCATACTATTAACTGATATTTTCATTTTTCAATTAATTCATGCATAGAATTAATGATTAAACGCAAACCTGAGAAATAAATAAATCTAACGCATGGGGGGAATCGAACCTACGACCTACGGACTATGAGTCTAACGCTTTACCAACTACGCTACGCACGCTACTTCAAAACGAATGCTAACTTCTTGATGCTATTTAAACTTCAAAAATACCTAACAAACAAAAGTGCTTAACATCATTTAGTTAAAGTTAAGATATTAAATTATATTTTCCAATCAAATGCAATTTATAAAATATAATTAATTATATGCTTTATGATTAATATCATGAATCATCTCAGGTGAATTTTCAAAAAAGTGTAAATATATTTTTATTAAAAACGCGTTTTTCGTTGTTTTGAATCATTGGAAACATTCATTTTTTGTTGATAAAAAAATATTTGATTTTTGGACTTAGAAAATTTTGCTAATCGATCATGAGGGCGATCCATGCGGGCCCCTACGGTGGCCCTCATCTATTTTGCCATAAGTGTGAGTGTTATTTTCAAAAAAAGTGTAAATATATTTTTATTAAAAACGCGTTTTTCGTTGTTCTGAATCATTGGAAACATTCATTTTTTGTTGATAAAAAAATATTTGATTTTTGGACTTAGAAAATTTTGCTAATCGATCATGAGGGCGATCCATGCGGGGCCCCTACGGTGCCCCTCATGGATTCGCCATATGGATCAGCCCTCATGGGCCCCCGCCGGGGGCCCCGAACTCTTGAGGGCAAGATCGTGGCTTTTTCCACACGGGTAGAAAAAGCATTTTTACTTTATATTTCTGCAAAAATATCACTGTAAAACGAAAGGTATTAATTTAATACCGTCTTTCCCTAGTAGAAATTTGTCCTAGCTATAATAAAAGAACTGGCCAGTCGTGCTTGAATATGTCTAGTTACTTTACTAGTATAGCCAGCTCGCTAAAAACTCGAATGTCATGTCACGCTTTTTTCATCAAGTTATTATCCAGCACAACTTGATAATTATTTATCAATAGAACTTTTGAAAAACTAGTCAAATTAATTCTTTTAAATATTTCGAAATTCATTTAATAATAAGATTTAATGTAGTAAACACGTTTATTTTATGTAAATAAAAAAAAAATTCCAATTACAAACAAAAATTATTATATAAAAATATAATGCACTAAATATAGTAATTCGTTATAAAAATGTAATTTTTCATTCACAATTAAACTGGATTTAAAAAAAAAATTACATAAGTAAAACGATTGAAGCAACACATCTACATCTTGACTGAACTAATTTTTTTTACATATTTATTATCCTCAAAAATTATATGTAAAATTTTATAAATAAAATTATTTTAAAGAAATAAATAATTATTGATATAATATAATATTATTATTATTATTATTATTATTATTATTATTATACATATTATTATAATATACTCAAACAGAAAAATAAAATTCTACTATATTTGTAAAATTTGTCTGAAAATAATAATAATTGTTTAATAATTTTTTTTAAAAAACTAAAAACACTTTTTTATTCAAGGTAATATTATTTTCATAATAATTTAATTTATTGCAATTAAGTAAGTTATATGCAAAAAATATATATGTGGAACAATAATTTACAGTGATTTTCATATAAAATGAATATTGATTTAGATGCTCTGGAAAGCAAAGTTGATTTTTTCTTAAATTCAATTTTTTCGACCACCGAGATATTTCGATACGTTTTCATGTGTTTTGTATGTACTGTCTTTTTTTTTTTTAGTAAGGAATATTAATATTATTATTATTAATTTTTATAAACAAGTTGTAATTTTTTTAAACCAAGCAAGCGAAATGTCAATACACAATATTTTAGCACAGCTATTTAATTTAATTTAATTAGTTAAAAATTATGGTATATTGAAAAAATAACGGGAATTAATACTAGAAATTAAAATGATAAATAAAGTAAGTATATATAATAAGATATATATAAATATTATTATTAAATTAACAAAAGTTTATAATACATTTAAAAAATTTTATTCATCTTTTCAATAAGTATTTTCATATTTTAAATAAATTTCATAAAATATAACAATAATAACATTAATTAATTAACAAATAAAATAGAAAACACAAAATTTCTATTTAAAAGCATTTTGAAAAAGCCTGCCGTTTTTCAACTGTTTTTTAACTCATAAAAACAGTCGAGAGTTAAGATCAAGATTTTTTTATTCTCTGATAGTCGAGTAGGTTCTCGATTAGGGTCTTTGGTTAGTGTCTGTCGAACCCGGGTTCAATTCCCAGTCCCCTCAAATTTGTCTCGAAAATTTTCTCGTTAAGTTTCCAAATGAAAATAAACAGGACATAATTAATAATAATAAACATCACAAGGATTTTCAAATTTAGAAACCTTGCAGCAACCTTGCAGCAACCTTTCCAGAAGCTTGTTGAAATTCTCCTGCAACCTTACGTAGCAAGCTTATAGCAATCTTTCACGGCAAGCTTGCCGCAATCGTTCTTAGTATGCTTGCAGCAATCTTGTAGCAATCCTTCATGGCAAGATTGCAGCAACCTTTCCTGGAAAGCTTACAGCAAGCTTTCAAGGCAAGCTTGCCCTGGGTGGGACATTTCGCTAGCTCAGACAAGCTTGCTGCAAGTTTCCGTGCTATCTGGGTAATTTCCAAGTTCAGCTAGAATCATCCGACACGAAAAAAAACTGTCCAGTAACTTGACGCATTCTAATGCTGCCATAACAAATTTCTACTAGGGTATTAGGTACTAAATTTTCATTTGGTTCTATTTTGATACCTAAAATTGGTATACTATTTTAGTACTTTCTTTTTACAGTGATTGTATTTTCTATACACTTTCAGAGAAATGAAAATGTTTGAATACTTTTCATATATGAAGAAGGTTTGCATTAATATTTAAATTTATTAATATGATAATAATATGTTAATTAATATAATGATAACAATTATGCTTCTGATTTTCCACGCCTGTATTTTATATATAAAACATATTTTGAATCGTTGAATTTAAATTCACGAGATCGGAATTCTAAAGTTCATTGTTTATTAAATAATAATTTGCATATTCAATATTCTTTCGTCTTTTTTTGTGTATTGGGTGATCTGGAAAAAATTTTTATTGAGATCAGTAAAATAATTTCAGATAATTACCTGAAGCTTGCAGTAAGATTTTTGTGAAAGATTGACAAGATTCATTTTTCATAAACTTTTTTTTCTTTCAGTAGTAATCGCAATTACACTACTGAAAGAAAAAAAAGTATAAAAAAAAAAATGTAGTAAAAATATTACGGTATTCGTATCATGAGATTTGTCTTCCTTTTTAATATAATATTTATAAAATTGTTTATTGGAAGCTCTATAATAAGTACAACGAATAATGCCAAGCACATTGAGTAAACTATATCTCCAGCCCAGTATTTAAACTGCAAAAGAAAAAATAATTCAATGATTTAATTATTATCATATGAAAATAAAGTTTTCAATGTTATGCATAATTTTAACGATTTGATATATACTTACTGCACTGTAAAAAGAAAAGGGAAATGCTGTTTTTGTTGTACCAATTTCATAATGATGAATGAGAAAATGAGTTAAGTACATGGCAAAAGAAAGTCGTGATAAAGGTTGAAACCATCTTGCTGCTAATATATTATAATAATAATCTAGAACAGAAATTCACAAATATCACTTATGCTTGTGCTCGGTAAAATAATTTTTTTTTTTTTTTTTAAATAAAAGTAAATTACCTAAACCATCTGCAATTGTAAATAGAAGGGGAATAGTACAAATGCCAATTGCAATAATTGGTCGGTGCAGACTTGCGTACAGAGCTCTTTCAAAAGCAGTTACTTTCAAATTTGGATTCATGAAAAGTGTTCCCATCCATGTTGTGGTAAAAATTACTCCAAATACAAGGATAAATAAAATTTGTGACCATGCCTAAAAGGTGAAATATTTCGAATTACAAAATAATTAATGTAATTAACTATTATTATTATGAAGCTTTTTGTAACAAGAATATAATAATAATGTATATTATTCTTGTTACAAAAATCTGCGTTCCTAAACTCTAAATAGCAACTATTAAGAATTTCATAGAATTTTAAAATATGAAATTCCATTATTTTTAATAAATATTTTTTGACTGATTTTACCTTTGAGAGGCGCCATTTCGAATTTTTGTAATCATAAATAAAACATCCGATAATTAATCCAGTAACATAACCACCTAAACGAAATTCGGTTTTCGAGTAATAATTAAGGAAATATTCAGTATCTTCTATTCTTCTTATACTAGAAAAAATATATTTATGCATCGTTATTCACTAATACTGACAATTAATATATATAGGATTAGATATACTTCTCTTATAGTTAATTATGTAAAAGAAAGTTGCAATAAAATTCTTACTTTGCAAAATTTTTTAAAACTGGATCTAAATCATGTTTGTATGTAAAATGAAATAGTACTGCAGATGAAACAATTAATGTGAAACCTAAAAATATGTAACCAATTTTCCGTGGCATTTTGTAAAATCCTCTCATTAATAACAATCCAATTATGTAACACTGGACATCCACAGATAAATACCAAGATTGAATCACGCACTGGGCAAAAGTAATAATAACATCACTGGGATATTATTTAAAATATTAAAAATCAGTTAAATTTCAAAATTAATAATCTTCTATTTCAATACCTTGTTATTGCCACCAAAATAATTATTGACAAAAAATAAATTTGTCCACCAATATGAAGAACAGGAATCTCGATCAGCTCCTACACTAGCTTCCCAATATGGTCCAGAACCTAATCGATGAAATACAATTGCATATGCAAATGTAATAAACATATAAAGTGGTAGTATTCTGTAAAGTTAAATTAATATTAGGTTATCTGACAACGACATATAATAAATAATAATTTTAATTTTATTTTTTAGCCAAAAGTAGCAATAAATGTTTAATTGATTCACACTAATTTAAAAGTATCAAATTGATACCAAAAATATCAAATTGATATAAAAATTTGTATCAATTTGATATTTTTGGTATCAATTTGATATTTTTTTAAATTTGTCTGTTCTCTTCAATTTTTAAAATACTTTTTGTATTTAATTTTAAAATTTTCTTCTACCTCACTAATCGTTTCAAGATCAAAAATATAAAGTTAAACTTCTTTGATATATTCCAATATTCCAACAAAGAAAAAGATAGTAGCAGTCCCCCCAAACCCAAAAATCCATCCATAAGCACAGCACCATTGTGCATTATTCCAAAAGTAGATGTTGACAATATCTACAGAATTGATATTTAAATTTCGGTTAAACGATATGTTAGAGAAAACATTTTAATGTAGAATATTTTTTATACATTATAACGCACCAAAAATGTCTCTATGTTAAAAAACGAACTAAATTAATCCCTTCGCAGTCTAGTAGAAAAGTCGTTTGTTGGTCCAAAACGGTCAGATTTAAAAAATTCAAAATAGCGGACCTAATATGTCGGAAAAATTTTAAATTGATTCGATTCATTTCAAATTTGGTAGTCGGCAGTTTTTGGAGTCCCTGAATCCAAATTCGAGGTCAAATTGAAAAATTCAAAAAGGCGGACCTAATCTGGCGATCCAATAAGGCAGAAAATTTGAAAATTGATTCGATTCGTTTAAAATTCGGTATTCGGAGGTTTTTGGGGTCTATGAATCAAAATTTTGAATTTGTTAAATCTGACCTCAAATTTGGATTCAGCGACCCGAAAAACCCTAAATGAACCATTTTCATGCAAATCTGGTTAATTTAAAAATTTTTTTAAACGCCATATTGGGTCCGCCATTTTGAATTTTGTAAATCTGATGTCAAATTCTGATATAGCAACCCCAAAAACCTTAGTATATTCATTGACACTCAAATCGAATTATGTTTAGTATTTTTTTTCTAAGATGGACCATATATGTCCAAACTCAAAAAGGTGACACGACTTTTTACTGAACATATTTGACGCTCCACGAGAGAAGGGACCTATCCCCGAAATAACATTAGGCTCTGTTTTCCGTGCACCGTACATGAAAACTAAGCCTAATATTATTATTTGGGAGATAAGTCCCCCCTACAGAAAATTCTCATGTAGAATCTTATATAGGATCTCACATAAATTCATATATTAAAATCCACATAAAATCCTATGTGAGATGTAAGAAACTATATAGGATCTTATGAAAAATCATATAGGAAATTGAGACATGATTTGAAGTGGGATTCGATGTAAATTCTTATAAACGTATTCTTAAGTAATAAATTATGTAAATTCCTATATGAAATCCTACAATTTTTCTGGTCCCATTTTTTCCTTCAATTTCTTATGTCAATTTCCTTCGTGTTTTCTTATTAAAAAACATACTAAAATTCATTGCTCAATCCTTAACCAGAAATTTTCCTATATCAAATCATACATCAAATTTTTTTTCGATTCTTGAATAAAAAATTATTACAAAAAATCTGACATGAAATCATATTAAAAATCCTCACTTGGGATTATATTATGATTGATTTGAACATAAGAAATCATATACAATTTCATGTAGATTCTGAAATATCTATATCTAAGATTTCACATAGAATTATATAAAGGAAACAATATAGGTTTTCATATAGGAATTTTCAGTTGGCAGACGGCAATTTATAAAAATTAAAAATTATTTAATTAAAAATCAAATAATATTACTGCAATTCATCTGAAAAGAAAAGAAATTGTGTTTTGCAATACACCTTCTGAGTTAGAGTCTCAGCTTTTATAGTATTCAAGACTGATCTCAACTGTGAGAAAAAAAATAATACCACCTGGCGGCGTAAGAGTGGAAGTATGATGATCTACATCTATATTGAAATTTCCCATATAATTTCCTACATAATTTCTCATATAATTTCCGACTTGGTATCTTGGATGGACAAATAAAACAGTGAAATCCACACATGATATCCCACATGAATTCCTATATGATTAATTCTTACATGAGATCCTATGTAGGATTTTATGTAGGATTTTATGTAGGATCCTATATAAGATCATACACAAGATTTTACATGGATTTTTATATATATATTCCTGTATGATGAATTCTTACATGAGATCCTATATAGGATTTTATGTAAAATCTTATGTTTGATCTTATATAGGATCATACATAAAATCCTATATAGGATCCTACATAGGATCTCATGTAAGAATTAATCATATAGGAATTTATGTGGGATATCATGTGTGGATTTCACTGTTTTATTTGTCCATCTAAGATACCAAGTTGGAAATTATATGGGAAATTCCAATATAGATGTAGATCATCATACTTCCACTCTTACGCCGCCAGATGGTGTTAAATTTTTTTTCTCACAGTTGAGATCAGTCTTGAATACTATAAAAGCTGAGACTCTAACTCAGAAGGTGTATTGCAAAGCACAATTTCTTTTCTTTTCAGATGAATTGCAGTAATATTATTTGATTTAATTTTTAATTTTTATAAATTGCCGTCTGCCAACTAAAAATTCCTATATGAAATCCTTTATTGTTCCCTTTATATAATTCTATGTGAAATCTTAGATATAGATATTTCAGAATCTACATGAAATCCTATGATTTCTTATTTTCAAATCAATCATATATATATGATCTCACTTGAGGATTTTTAATATGATTTCATTGCAGATTTTTTGTAATAATTTTTTATTCAAGAATCGAAAAAAGATTTCATGTATGATTTGATATAGGAAAATTTCTGGTTAAGGATTGAGCAATGATTTTTAGTATGTTTTTTAATGAGAAAACACGAAGAAAATTAACATAAGAAATGGAAGGAGAAAATGGGACCAGAAAGATTGTAGGATTTCATATAGGAATTTACATAATTTATTACTTAAGAATACGTTTATAAGAATTAACATCGAATCCCACTTCAAATCATGTCTCAATTTCCTATATGATTTTTCATAAGATCCTATATAGTTTCTTACATCTCACATAGGATTTTATGTCGATTTTAATATATGAATTTATGTGAGATCCTATATAAGATCCTACATGAGAATTTTCAGTAGGGCCTTCTCTCGTGGAGCATCACATATATGGGCTACTAGACTATCAAGGGGTTAATTAATAAATATTTTAAAATGACTAAAAACAACACGTTGGTGAAATTTACAAGGTTTATGATCGATGGTTAATAGAAATATTTTTGATTCGGAAAATAATAATTAATTTATTGCCTACAAATTTTTATTTTAAAAATTGTTCATTGAGAAATTTTCTAAAAATAATTTTAGACAAAAAAATATAACAATTTGCAAAGAAAGAAATTTTTTCTTCAACGTAATTCATTGATCATAAACGTTATGAACTTTACCGAATGTAAAAACATATATTTTTTTAAATTAAATTTTATAAAAAAAAATAGTATAAGGATTCATTGTCATTTGTCAGAGTATATTGATATTTTGTCAAAATATTTATTCTTAAATCGCAAGTTTGCAAAATTAATCTATCAAATATTTAATGAAATCATTGTTATGCATTGTTTTTAATTATAAATACATATATACCCATTCATAATATTGTCCTGAGATAGTTCCCGCATACATATTTTGAATTTGTCTATGACCAAGAATTGTAAGACAAGCGAAAATAGCTCGAAGAGAATGAATAATATCAAATCCGGGATGTTGATAATTTACTCTAAAAATTTTATTAAAGTTTCTGCGAGCCGAGAAGCAAGTTATTAAAGAAAGTTCTTCATTTTCATCAGAATTTTTATCAATAATAGTGCTGAGAATGACGACAGTCAATATTAAGAGAAATGTTAAACTGTAAAATTAAAAAATTAGATGTTTTTTGAAATCATTTTCATTTGAATAATAAAAATTATAATTTCTTACCAAAAAATTTTATCATAGATAGAAAATTCTGTAGCTTCTTTTGAACAATACATAGGTGATATTGAAGCATCGACACTAATATTATATTTTGTACTAAATTCATCAAGAGGTTTTTTCAATGAGACAACAATGTCCTCTATTTGACATTTTGCGGGAAAACATAATGCCATTTGCAATAAGTATCGTGGAAATCGACGAAAATCACCTTTTTCCTTAAATATACACAAATAATCGTCAGTGAAAATTATTAATAAAATGACGTCAAAACACAATTTTTCTTAAATAAATTCATCAATTTAATAGCTTTTTGAGAACAACATTGTCTTTAAATATAATATTATTACACCGAAAAAAAAATATTCTTGTATTCAGAGGAAAATTCCTCTTACAGAATCCTCTTGAATTTTATTCTTAAAACAAGAGTATTATTCTTTAAATGAGACTATTTTCCTCTAATTTCAAGAGGATCGAAACAAAAGGACTATCCTAGAGCATTCCTCTTATATTCAGAATAATCTTTTTAGAATAAAAATAATACTCTTAGAATTTAGAATAATCTTCTATGTTTAAGAATATGCCTCTAAATTCTAAGAGGATTTTGCATTGAAAGTCGCTCCTGCGCAAAGTTGATTGCGTCATATTATTTACGTCGCGTCATAAATCGCATATTATGCGTGAAAAAGTTTTAGTTTCTGTGTGAAAAAAGGGGAATAAACCAAAATGGATAATAATCTTTTAAATATCTTGATAGAATTGCAACTTACACAATACGTGCCTATTTTTGAAGGTAAAAGAAATTTTGAAGAAAATTTAAATAATTTTGAGGTTATATGCTATTTAAAATTTTATTTTATTACGATTTTTATTTATTTTAATTTTATTTAAAATTTATTTAAAATTTATTTAAAATAAGTTTTCAAATTTAATGAATTATATGTTTTGCGCATAAAAATATTATTAAAAATAGATTTAGTTGATTTATTCAAAAAAATTAAAATCAATTGCAATTTATTTATACTCAAACAGATGTAAATCATGAAATATCAAATTTTATTCCTTTTAATTTTATAAATTATATCTATGACATACAAACTAGATGATTGCATTTTTATTATTTCAGAGTTCTTTTTAAGATAATATTTTCCTCTTAAAATAAGAGTATCCTCGTAAATTAAGAGGAATAATTTTACATAGAGGGCAATCCTCTTAAACCTAGAGGACATCCTTTTGCAGCATATACTAGAGGAAAATATGCATTGAAATAAGAGGAATCCTCTTGAAACAAGGGGATTTTTTTTTCGGTGTATGACGAAAATAATTATCACATTTTGTCAAATTTTTAATTTAAATAATTGACGAATATTTGATATGTTAAAATATATTAACACATTTTAAATTTACAAAAACTGACACCAGATTTCTGATCAGCGATTCTAAGACTCCACTAATTTTTATAAGCTTAGCTATAGACTTCTTAAGTTTTTCGTCCGACATATTGAATTCATCACTATGAATTTTTGAAAACTAACATCAAATTCGTAATCAAAGACCCCAAAAAAAAAAAACTTAAGAAACATGAAAGTTTAGAATTTCCTTTACATACATAAATAGAATCATTAAACCGTACGATGATTAATAGGATTTATAAGTATAGTAAGTAAATTTAGAAGTAATATAAAATTATATTCATACTCGAATGGCTTCCCAGGCAGAGACTTGTGGATCAAAATATATATTGTGTTCTCCAATAAACTTTGTCGGTTCATTTTTTTCTTTAAATTTTACATCCACCAAACAATATCTACTGATAATTTCTTCAATTTCCCCATTTTCATTATTTATTATTTTTGCTTGAATTCGTTCACATTGATCAAAACTTCCCAAATATCGTGTTAAACCACCGAATAATCCATAAGGATATTTAGCTGATGAATCAAACACTGAAATTTAAGATACATTAAAAAAAATCGTTCATATTCTTATAATTAACATTAGTTAATAAATAATAACTTAATTATTGTAAAAACTAGAGTCAGTGATATCTGTACGTTGGATCGCTGACACGGAAAGGGTTAAACTAATGTTTTTTTAAAAAAGTTATATTTAATATTAGTATATTATATTTTACATTCAGTTTTGAATAATATAAGATTAAAAATTCATTTTTTAATCTGCATTTATTATAATTTAATGCAAAAAATTATTTTGACGTATTTTTCGTAAGATTAATATTCATAATAAATCTAGGAAATTGAAGACAGTTTTGAGGTTATGAATAAATTCTTTTTAGTTCACATTGCTAAATAATCTGATAATTCTTCTCTAAAAGATCTTAGAAATTTAACAATTTTTGGGACGTTTTCAATTATTTTGAACAGACGGAAAGAGACATTTTAGCTATTTTAGGTATTTTTGAAATAAGGACCGACGAAACCTTACGGGGCCATTCATAAACTACGTTACCAATAATTCATTCTTTTTAGACCCCCCCCCCTCGTTATCATTTCGGTAAATGTATAATTATAGACTTTTAGACCCCCTCCCCCCTAAAATAGATAATGTAGTTTATGGATGGCTCCTTAGAAGAGGCCAATTCTACTGATGACAAATTTAGATTCAGCACTCAAATCATACTAAAAAACATTAGTTAACCCTTAAAGTACATACAAAGTACAAATCGCCCGATGTGTTTTTTAAAATTCGGGTTCTTCTTTAAAAACATTTCATTGATTAATTTTAAATATTTTTTAAAAAATAATTTTATATCAATAAAACTATATTTTTCATATTCCTTCAAAAGATTTCCTATCAAAAAAATAATCGATTGAATTTAATCAACTTGAGCCAAAGATGTAAAATTTCAAAGTATTGCGGGGTACAAATCACCCTTCTGTGTATCGAACATAAATTTTTGAAGTGTATACTTTAAGGGTTAATAAAATTTAACAAAATGTTAAAAATTTTAAAGCAATAAAGAGGCACGTGTAAAAAACTGAATTCTTGAAAAAATATTGGTTTGTCGAACAGTAATAAAAAATTATCATTTAACAACTCTGAATAGAAAAAATTAATAAACTTTAGTTTGATAAACGTGGCGCATGAAAAAGCTCTAAAACGAATTTTTTGGAATTATGATTTGATAAAATCTTATTCTGTAGAATAAGATTTTGACAAAATATTAAATTTTTAAATTATTAATTTTGTATAGTATCAATGTTGCACAAATTTTATTTAGATGAAAATAAATTTTTTAGTAAAAATTAATAAACAACAATAGTTTTTAAATAATTAGCATTATAATAGATCTTTAAATAAAACTATTTAAAATAAAGAAAAAATGCGTGTACTTCCGAAGTAGGGGTACCTCCGATTTTAATAAAACTTGGTATACTAACGTATTTTGGTGCGCTGATTACGAAAATGATAGTGAAAATTGGCGCAAATTTGATTATCATGGTAAAAACCATAAAAAAAACACCACAAAATCATGGTTTTTTACGATTATCTCGTAAAAAACAAAAAATTTCGAAAAAAGTTTTAGACAAAAATTGTAGATCTCAAAAAAACACACATTTTATGTTTTATGCATTTTTTACCAAAAGTCATTATTTTTCGAGAAAAATCCAAAAAACGAAAAACACCATGATAATGAAAACATATACCGCAGTCATGGTTAGACATATTATTATTTGATCCAACGAATTCCGCAAAATACTTTCGGCCATATCCACTCCCTCTCGCCAAGGTTTTTTTTAAAAGAAAAGCGAGCAGTACCTTACGCGTACGAAGGCCGTGTTTACTATTTTGCGTTTACCGCTGCTGTAGACTCCACCCCACAATTTCCGCAAATTACTTTCGGACCATTTTTCTCGAAAAATAATGACTTTTGGTAAAAAATGCATAAAACATAAAATGTGTGTTTTTTTGAGATCTACAACTTTTGTCTAAAACTTTTTTCGAAATTTTTTGTTTTTTACGAGATAATCGTAAAAAACCATTATTTTATGGGGTTTTTTATGGTTTTTACCATGATAATCAAATTTGCGCCAATTTTCACTACACCCAAAAAAAAGTAATCTTAAATTTAGAGGAAAATTCCTCTTCTAAAATCCTCTGAATATTTCCTCTTAAAATACGAATATTCCATTTGACTGTAGAATATTTTTATTCTTTGTTGTAATGGAACAATGACAAAAGGAGTACTTTTGCATTTTCCTCTTCAATTACGATTTTCCTGTTTAAATTTAGTATATTTGAAAAAAGGAAAAGTAAATACATGATATCGATTACATTTTTTTCCTGTTTGACATTTGCGCTTTTGTTTTTCGAAACTGTCAATTTTGTCATAATAATGTTGTGTTATAAATCGAAAGACCAAAATGGAAAAGAGACTCGAAGATTTACTAAATGATTTAAATCTTGGTGGATATATTGAATGGAGGTATAAATACAGAAAATATAACCTCTCGATGAATCTTCATTTCTTACTAATTTTCTTAAATATTTGCGTCGAACTTGTTTGATATTTGCAACTGGCTATAGCATTTTTTATTATTATTGTAATTAAATCTAATGTATTGATGCTCAGCAAAAAGCAAGAAATATTTTTCAGAAATGTTTAATTAAAAACCAATATTTCATTCTTTATTACAGGAATCTATTATAATTTACCTTTTTTGAATGTAAATAATTAAATCTAATTAAATATTTATTATATTATTCAAATTTAAAAAAATTATTGGTTCTCTTGACATTAATAACACTAGGAATTTTTTTTTTGTTGAGGTTTTGATATCAACATTTAATTCAATGTGTCAAAACTGTACTTTATTATCAATACATAACCATTATTGTCTAATAATTTATTCAAAACCTGTGTAATACGGTTATTTTCAACTTGTCAAAATATTAGAATATTATTTTTCCTTTAAGAGGATTTTTTCGAGAGGAAGATCCTTCTAAATTAAGATTATTACTTTTGATACCAAAATTAAGAGGAAAATATGCATTACATTTAGAGGAATCTTCTAGAATGAAGATTACTTTTTTTAAGGTGTATCATTTTCGTAATCAGCGCACCAAAATACGTTAGTATACCAAGTTTTATTAAAATCGGAGGTACCCCTACTTCGGAAGTATAATTGAGCTTTACGCATTTTGTGAAGAAAATTGACCTTCATTCAGTACAGAAGTACGCATATAATAAAAAATTTTACTATTTTAAAACTTTGTTTACAAAAATATATGCATTTGAAATTAAGAGTTAGAAACAAGTATACATATAGGTATAAGAAATGTTCTTTAATTCTAAAGAAAATAAAATAATATTTTGCGATTATAACTTGCCTTTCTTTTATCTTTGGATAAGCGTACATTATACATAAAAAAAAAATGTTTGAAAATTGTTTTCTGAATTATATTAGTTTCTTACATTTTTTATTTTTTTATTATTATTTTCAAATGTATATATTTTTTCAAACAAAAGTTTTAAAGTAGTAAATTTTTTTATTATTTTTCATACACTGAAAGAAATTTCATAGGAAAAAATAACAAAATGCGTATTACATTTTAATATATTCTTTTAGAATTTAGGGAAAAGTGTACTTTTTATTAAAATTCAATATACTTTATATGAAAGTTCCAACTTAAAATCTTTTTTCAAATATTAATAATTATTGTAGAAAGAACGTAAAAAGATTACCAATATTTGAAAATATTATATTAAATTCTCATAGAGTTGTTGCATTATATGGAATGTAGCATTCTAATATTTGTAAAACTTTATACGAAAAATTCAGAATGTCGGAAGAAAAGGGAAAAAAAGCGGAAACTGTCGGACGTTTCCGTTAATTCTCGGGAGGAAGAGGAGTGAGGAACAACACATTCACACTTACGATACAGGTTAATACACATACTAATGAACACGCACGTTCATTTCGCTTATACATAGACATTACACGATCGCAACGAAACCTACACTTACAATTCTACACGCATAACGATAAATTTCGCTGGGGGTCGGCATATATCGTTTTCTTATATACTAACTACTGAATATTTTTACCACTTGCGAGAAAGAAGTTTACTTATAATAACTTAATAATAAAAAATAGTTTACTAGTGCCAATGGTGTAATTTTATAGAGGTTACGCTGGGTTCATTTTTATTATTAATTGTTTATATAGATTTTTCTTTTTTTTCAGATTAAAAATTATGATTGTTATAAAAATTTTTATTGCAAATAAAAATTAAATAATTGTAAAGATGACATCAAAAAATAAAAATTCATAAAAATAATAATAAATTTAATAATTAATAATAAATTTATTATTATTAAATAACTTTAATAAAACATTTTTTATAAATTGAAAATAAATTAGGTACGTTCTGCTGGTTAACAACACTTTCGAAAATCGGATCAAGTCGTAGAAGTTCGAGTAGGACACGAAGCCGCAAACAGACAGAACTTCGGTTAAATTCGTAGTCTCTCGGGAAAATCCGTGACTTTTAATATAAAGTTTTACAAAATGTGAAATAAGTATACGGATATATGTTATTTTTCTTACTATTTTGTGAAATTATTTATTATAATATTTCGTATTCTGTGAATTCATAAAGAAAATACTAATTTTTAAAATAAATATACTAATTCTTATTTCTTAAAATAATAGTTACTCTTAAATTCATTATATATTTTCATAAAAACTGTAATAGTAATCAGTATAGGTGCACTTTTTCCCTAAATTGTAACATTTATATTAAACTCTAATATGAGTTTAATACTTAGTAGTATGAATTTTCTTTCAGTGTATGTAACTTAAGCGTTCTCAATTTTTGTAAAAATTAAAAACTTAAGTTTGTCTTTAAATTAAACAGATTTTACTAATTTATTATTGCGATTACTATTATTATATTGTATGATCTATTGTCATTAATATAATTTGCTAATAGTCCTTGAAAAATAATAAAAATTTTGATTAAAATATAAATATTAAGCGGGAGGTTTGACGTCGAGGATATGTTTGTGCATTTGGATGACTATTTAAATGTACATTCATAACTCGACAGTCAATAAACCGGCTGTATTCAGTGGATGTTTTCCGTAGTTTCCCTCTACTCTTATCAAGAAAGGGTCAGTCAAATGCAAATACTTATAATAAAAGTCGGCTACGGACCGCAATTTGGGAATTTGGGGTTTACAGAAGTGAGGTTAAAAGATGGGGTAGAAGAAGGGGTTGTTTAAATTTCAACTCGGGGAGATTTTATTTAATCATTAATTAAATTACATTAATTTTCTAAACTCTTTACTAATTAAAAAAAATAAAGTTTAAGAGAAAAGTATATTCTAAAAACTTACTTTCAGTCGCCCATAAAGTGCCATTTTTTAAATGATCCAGATATAATCGTAATTGCCTTTTACAAGAACCTTCAGGAATTGAATTCGAAGTTGCCACTATCATTGGTAACAGTGGTATATTTAAGAACCAAGAAGATTTCTCATCACTTTCTTTAGTATACTCACTTCTCCTAAAATTCGATTCCTTTACTATCTTATGATTATTTTCATTAAATTTTTTCAAAGTATTATTCTTCAAATTTTCATAATCAATTAATGTTCTATTTTCGGATAAAGTAGTTTCTCCAAATACCACTATCAAAACTTGACAATTAAAAATAAAAAATACTGTTATATTGCAAGTTTTACGAAAACTTAATTTCATGTTGGATAAATTAAAAAATTTGAATATTTACTATATAGATCATTTAATTTAAAAAAAAAATTTGTAATAAAAATAAACGTTTTTATTTATTAACTTGTTTATATAATTAAAATTTTGATCAAATTTTATATGTTACTGATAACGCTTAGCAGAATTCAAATCATCTGTCTCTACTTTGTACTTGAAGATAACTAAAAGAGGGGTGATATGACTTCATTTTTTAATTTATTTAATTCGCAGAATCCAGTTTCTATTCTAATTCTATAAATGTTAGTATACATTGAAAGCGATAGTTATATACGTGAAACTTTTTGTTTCATTTGTTAATAAATAAAAAATGTTGCTTGCATTATTAATCAGATGGAAATGTTTGATTAATTTTTTTACTATGATAATTTGCATTAATTATCATAGTAAACAATATTATTTTAATCATTGTTACTTTTTATTCCTTCAGATTTCAGGGTTAAAGAATGTTTCAGAGTTTTAACACTTTATCATTGAATTATTTGCTTTATCATTTAAAGATCGCTTAACAGTATATTTCAAAAACGTACAAGATTTTTTTATCACTTTCATTTTCTTCAGGATTTTAAAATATTCAAACATCGAATAAATTTGAATTATTATTAATAAATTAAAGTAATGTAAATTTTTTTAAAGTATCAATTGTTTAAATAAATACAAAATTTACCCTAGACAGTATACAACTGGGGTACAAAAGTACCCCAGAGAAAATTCAAACTACGACCCTGGTTCTGTAAGCTTAACTGTCATTGCGGCACCCAAACTAAGTTAAGAAAAATTCGACGTGAACAGTGTCGTAACTAAAAAGGGTTAGATGAAGCCCCGACTTAATCGCAACAATTATTAATTAACTTTTAATTGAATCATAAATAATATTAATGAGGCTTTACTTTAGGTTATTTTTCTTTTTCTGTGTTTAAAATTTCACAATCCGGTTAGATTATAAATCGAAAATACTGTTTTTATGAAGTTAGGGGCGCTTAAAACATACAGTACTCTCCTGAGCACATGTGAGCTTGTTTATGAAACCCCCCCCCCCCCCAAAAAAATATATCATGTCATGTACATCTCTTATCCAAGCATATAATTCTTTTAATTAATGAGAATCGGTTTCAAATGAACACTATTTTTGTTTTTTCTTTTTTTGTAAAGTTGAAGTGTATTTGTGTTACTTCGTGTCACTAAAAGTGAGGTTAGGTGCGATACAATCTTATACGACAAAGTTATTAATCAAGACAAGACAGCGGAAACACCAAGGCGAAGGAACAAGTTCTCATCAGATCACTGAAGTTAAGCAACGTTGGACGCGGTTAGTACTTGGATGGGTGACTGCTTGAATTGACATTCGACGATATGTTTTTTCGTGAAATTTAATTTTCGATCAAATGCCAAATTTTAGTAATCAGACTAAGAAAAATTGATATCGTTGCAGTTTTTCCCCACTTTAGTAGTCAGTTTACTAAAAATACATAGTGAGTTTAAGAAAAAGTAATACTCAAAGTTTCTCCGTGTAGGTACATAATCGTTAGGGCATAAAATAAGCGACAGTATAGAAGAGAGGATGAAAAAGTCAATTCTACTGATAATAAACAATTATAAATAAAAAATAATTTTATTTTCCTATTTTAAGTATAGTAAAATCTACTATACTTACATCTACTACTACATCAATTTTTTTTAAAATTGTAAACAATTATTAAATTTCAAAAAATATTTTAATTGAAAATTAATTTAAGATATATAATTGAATTTGTGAAAAATTTCATCAAAATTATTAATAGGTAATAATTAATTTAGTGAAAAATTTTAGTTAAAAATTTGTTAAATAATTGAAATAAAGAAGATCTAAAGAAGCTCTCTATTGTATGCTAAACAAGATGTATTCTGTTTAAAAATGTTGTAAAAAAAAAGTCGCATCTTATTTAAATAAGTCGAAAAAAGTCGTATAATCCGAGGCCCAGTGTTTATAATATGAACTGTCTTTGTCAAATCTTGGTAATAAAAACGAGTACAAATTATAATGTAAGTTTTGACTTTTGAGCAAACTTAATCCCAAATAAAATAGTCCGCGCAGAAAGTCAGTTTGACACTTGTTTAAATAAATAAAATCTTGATAAAATTTTTAAAACTACTTATTACGCTTTTCTATTTTGCATGAATAGCATAATTAACTAATTAGAATTAAATTTTTTCTTTTTACTGTATTATTATGCATTTGTGAATTTTTAATGATTTATTGCTCTTAATACACCAATTAAATCGTCTTCCATACAAAAAGTTAATTTTTTTTACTAAAATCCAGATTGTATGATAATTGTGTTGATGTTAATGTACATTAACAACGGAGTAATAAATAATGCGTGCACACCTTATATAAAACTAGAAAAGCTGTTAATAAAGTAAAATCTTGCATGAAAGTGTAAAACAGTGAAAAATGACTTAAATTGAAGTCATCATCTGAAAAATTAATAACCTATAAAAATTTTATTGAATTCTATATATTTATTAAAACAATTCTATCAAGTTATTTGTAATTCAAAATTCTCGAGAAATATCAACTTTTTTTTATACATAACGTACAAAATGAATTTAAGTTTTTGTGTAATTTGTATTTTTGTTAAATTTGCTTTTAATTTTCTTAATTTCCCAGTGGTGATTGGAGAAAATACATTATCTAAAATAGAAATCCTAACTAAAGAATGCAATAAAAATAATTACACCATAAGAGATGAATCGAATTTTGAAAATATTTATAATAAAGAAAGTAAAAATGTAGAAAAGTCTCCTTGGTTCTTAAATATACCACTTTTGCCGATAATAGTTGCAACTTCGAATTCAATTCCTGAAGGTTCTTGTAAAAAACAATTACTGTTATATCTTAATAATTTAAAAAATGGTACATTATGGGCGACTCAAAGTAAGTATTACATTAATTTCTCCTTTAGTAGTTAAATATATTAAGTTTAAATAAAAAATAATTCTTTTGTTGATCTAATAAGTGCATTATTTTATATGTATTATATTGTGTACTTTGGATAAAAATACAGTATACACAGAATAAACTTTAACTTAAAATAATCTCCGAACGATACACGAAGAATAATTTTTTAGGTTAAGTATCATATCAAAATCTTAATGACAATAAATATAAAATAATCAATGGAACTTCAGGCCTAAGCAGAATGAAATCTTTAATCGTAAATCTTAAGCTTTTACTTGAGCGAGAAAACGATAGAAAACATCTTTTGTCCTTTTCTCTCTCATGTAAAAGCTCAAGATTTACGATTGGAGATTTCATTCTGCTTATACACGGAAAGAATTTCGAGACATCACATGCGCTGCCTACCACGCATCGTTTGTGCTTGAGTTATGTACGTGTGATGTGCATTTTCGAGACATAGACTACGTTATAGCAGACGATCTTGCGATGCGCAAAGCAAATGCGCAAAGAAAACACGCCTCATGTCTCGAAAATGCACATCACACGTACATTTTCGAGACATGGGACGTGCGATGTGAATGTACAGCGCATGCCATGTAGTTCTCGAGGCATCCGCACAGCAGATGTCTCAAAATTCTTTCCGTGTAAGCCTATCCGAATTGTGATACTTTGCAGGGAATGGTAGCTTTTTTGATACAGGGCGGAGAACTAGAATAGAGAACAACAGGGTGAGGCAGGTGACAAATTTGAAAAAATGGGAGTAAAGCCCCCAAAAAACTGTTTTGGTGTCTTTAACTACATTTTTTTTTAAATTCAATTTTTTTTATCTTGCGTATATGTGTTTTAAAGTGTAGCTTTAATTTAAGCCTAAAAAGAAGTCTCTAGCACGTCGGGTTAATGAGAAAAAAATACTGAAAACCTTCAAAAACACAGTTTTTACTCAAAATCCTGACGTGATACGCAATTTTGGAACCCGGGATCATGTTCAGCGCACAAAAATACATTGGAAACCACTCTGAGGGTCAATTACGTAACTTTTTCCGGATTCCACTTTTCAAATTCCGTATTCCGGTTTCAACATTCCGGATCCCTCATTTCACATTCCGTAATCCGGATCCTACTTTTCATATTTCCGGATTCTACTTTCAAAATTCTGTATTTTGGATCCTATATTCCACATTCCGGATTCCACTTTCAGAATGTAGGACGTGGAATCCGGATTGTGGAAAGTGCAATCCGGAATATGGGATCCAGAATGTGGAATGCGGTATTTGAAAAGTGGAATACGGAATGTAGAATCTGGAATGTGAAAAGTGGAATCCAGAATGTGGAACCTGGAGTACGGAATGTGAAATGTGGAATCCGGAATACGAAATTTTGAAAGTAAAATCCGGAATCTGAAATACGGAATTTTGAAAGTGGGATCCGGAATGTGGAATACGGGATGTGAGATCCGGAAAAAGTTACATAATTGACCCCCTTATATCTAAAAAAAAACTTAGACTTATGTTATTATCTTTCTAGGGTTAAATATACATAAACTGTTATTTATATATTTATTTATTGAAACATACATGAATTGTACTGATATAAAAAATAATTATTACTAGTTGTAAGATTATTTTAAAAATAATCCACAATGATTATAGATGAAAAAATAATAACCTATTAAAATTGTATTTTAACTTAAAATTTGTTAGTGTTTGATTCATCAGCTAAATATCCATATGGTGTTTTTAATGGTTTCACTCGTCATTTGGGAAGTTTTGATCAGTGCGATGAAATTCAAACAAAAATATTAAATAATGAAGATGGAAAAATTGAAGAAATACACAGTAAATATTGTTTGGTAGATGTAAAATTTAAGGAAAAAAATGAACGGACACAGTCTCTTGAAGAACTCAAAATCTTTTTCGATCCACAAGGCTCTGCCTGGGAAGCAATTAGAGTACGTTCTATATTATATATTGTAATGAAAAACTTATGATTTAACAAACAATAAACATGTTCTGAATCAACCAGGATTTAATTATTTTCTATTTTTTCTATATCTTGGATTCCTGTAAAAAATTTTTTTGGGGTTATATCAAAATCCTGACGTGATGAGGTAACCCTACTGAAAATCCTCACGTGGGATCATATATATGATTGATTTGAACATAAGAAATCATATACAATTTTATGTAGATTCTGAAATATCTATATCTAAGATTTCACATAGAATTATATAAAGGAAACAATATAGGATTTCATATAGGAATTTTCAGTTGGCAGACGTCAATTTATAAAAATTAGTAATTATTTAATTAAAAATCAAATCATATTACTGCAATTCATCTGAAAAGAAAAAAAATTGTGCTTTGCAATACACCTTCTGAGTTAGAGTCTCAGCTTTTATAATATTCAAGACTGATTTCAACTGTGAGAAAAAAAATTATCACCATCTGGCGGCGTAAGAGTGGAACTATGATGATCTACATCTATATTGGAATTTCCCATATAATTTCCTATATAATTTTTCATATAATTTCCGACTTGGTATCTTAGATGGACAAATAAAACAGTGAAATCCACACATGACATACCACATAAATTCCTATATGATTAATTCTTACATGAGATCCTATGTAGGATTTTATGTAGGATCCTATATAAGATCATACATAAGATTTTACATGGATTTCACTGTTTTATTTGTCCATCTAAGATACCAAATCCGAAATTATACGATAAATTATGTAGGAAATTATATGGGAAATTCCAATATAGATGTAGATCATCATAGTTCCACTCTTACGCCGCCTGATGGTGATAATTTTTTTTCTCACAGTTGAGATCAGTCTTGAATACTATAAAAGCTGAGACTCTAACTCAGAAGGTGTATTGCAAAACACAATTTCTTTTCTTTTCAGATGAATTGCAGTAATATTATTTGATTTTTAATTAAATAATTTTTAATTTTTATTAATTGCCGTCTGCCAACTGAAAATTCCTATATGAAATCCTATATTGTTTCCTTTATATAATTCTATGTGAAATCTTAGATATAGATATTTCAGAATCTATATGAAATTGTATATGATTTCTTATGTTCAAATCAATCATATATATGATCCCAAGTGAGGATTTTTAATATGATTTCATGTCAGATTTTTTGTAATAATTTTTTATTCAAGAATCGAAAAAAAATTTGACGTATGATTTGATATAGGAAAATTTCTGGTTAAGGATTGAGCAATGAATTTTAGTATGTTTTTTAATAAGAAAACACGAAGGAAATTGACATAAGAAATTGAAGGAAAAAATGGGACCAGAAAAAATTGTAGGATTTCACATAGGAATTTACATAATTTATTACTTAAGAATACGCTTATAAGAATTTACATCGAATCCCATTTCAAATCATGTCTCAATTTCCTATATGATTTTTCATAAGATCCTATATAAGATCCTACATGAGAATTTTCAGTAGGGAAAATCACAATGCGGTAAAATAAACAGCGGACTTGGTTTCAACGAATTAGTTATTCTAAGAATAATATTATAAAGTACGATATGCAGCTTTACGTAGATGATCTGATTCATTGAAGTCGCAGATTTTTTTATATCTACCTCATTGAATAAATAAATTGAATTTATATTTTAGGAAAAAGGCGATTTTCGAAGATACAAAAGATATATTTTACAAATGGCATTGTGTTTTCCTGCAAAATGTCAAACGGAGGATATAGTTGCAGCGCTAAAACAACCTCTGGATAAATTTGGCGCAGAATATAATCTTCAAGTCGAAGCATCAATTATACCCATGTATTGTGCCTCTAAAGAAGCTCAAAAATTTTCTATTTACGATATAATTTTCTAGTAAGAATAATTTCAAATTTTCTTCTACTTTGCAGAGAATTGTTTTATATTATATAAATAATTTCCTAATTTACAGTTTGATATCTCTAATAATATTAAGCCTCATCATAATCAGCACTCTGATTGACATTAATTGTGATAAAAACAAAGAACATTCTTTATTACGTTGTTTCTCTGCTCGTAAAAATGTGAATGAAATTTTTAAAATAAATTATGAACATCGAGGACTTGATACTATTCACTTTATTCGAGTATTGTTCACTGTTCTTACAGTTTCTTGTCACAGACAATTGCAGTATATGTACGGAGGAAATATTTCTGGAAAATACTACGAATGGGTAAGCAATTAATGAAATTATTTTATCATGTTTATAATAAATATGAACATATACAATATTAGTATCATAATTATAATAATTTAATAGATTATGACCGATCCTATTTTCGGAATAATTCACAATATTCCCATCGCAATAGAAGGATTTTTCGGTATGGGAGGACTTTTAATGTCTCATTCTTTATTGGAAGAATTGAGTATTTCAAAAAATATTAATATCATTCTTCTAGTTGTAAAACGATTAGTAAGGTACATTTGGTCAGAATTTCTCAAACGGATCTTTTGTAAAATTTTCAAACGAAAAATAAGTTTTTGAAAATATCAGACCAAAAAAGAAATTTTCAAACGAAAAATAAGTTTTTGAAAATATCAGACCAAAAAAGAAATTTTTTGTTCGAAAATTTTCAGTTGTCAGATATAAAAAAAATTAGAATTTGGTATTCACTAACTTTTAAGAAACAACACAAAATGTTTATTAATTATTATTTAACAACAAACATTAACACAAAATAATTTTGTTTTAAAAATTTGTATAAAAATTTAAAAATTATTTTTTAGAATATTGCCAACTTACATGTTTATAACATTTGCGTATGCAACTGTATTTCATCGATTAGGTTCTGGACCATTTTGGGAATCAACTATGGGATTCTATCGAGATTCTTGTTTATCTTATTGGTGGACTAATTTGTTTTTGATAAATAATTATTTTGGAGGCAATAACAAGGTATATACAAAAACATAAATTTTTTTGTAACTTTCTCTCTAAATCTGAATCAGTAAAAATGTTTACTAATTTAAATTAGTGACTCACTTTTTGCATTTGAATTAGTTAAATTTTGCTAATTTTTAGTAAACGTTATTAATTAGTAAAATTTTACTAATTCAGATTTAGAGTGTTGATAACTATATTTATTTTTGTTTAGTGCGTGATTCAGTCTTGGTATTTAGCTGTGGATTTTCATTGTTATTTAATTGGATTAATGTTAATTATTGTATTCAATAAAATGTCTCGTAAAGTTGGTTATATATTTTTGGGTTGTACATTAATTTTGTCAATTGGTATTCCTTTTTATTTCACATATAAAGATGATTTAGTTCCAATACTCAAATCTTTTATTAAGTAAGATGATAATTTTATTATTGTACTAATAATTACGAAGCGCAGGAATAAGCTCTAAAATTAATTTGTTAGATTTTTCATTTTTTCGAATTATTATTTAACAGAAAGTCTATTGAACCGAATTTTTATATATTACAGAATTGTTATTTAAACGAATTTTACAAACTTTTTATTTCATCAATTTTGAATTTAACAGAATTTTTATTAGAAAAAATTAATTTCTAACCGAATTTTAGGTAATGAAATTCAAATGAAAATTCTAACAAATAAATTTTAGAGATTATTCATGCTTCTCATAATCACACAAAAGCATCGTTTTTTAAAACTTATTTGAATATTGTTAAAAAATGTAAATGAATTTTTTCAATAGTCCAAGAAGACTAGAGGACAGTGATGATTTTTTAAATTATTATGTTAAAACTCATATACGTATGGAAGCTTATATTACTGGATTGATTGTAGGGGTTCTTATTTTTGATTACAAGGAATCTAATTGGCGTCTCTCAAAGGTAATATAATAATTTTTCCTTTTTTTAACATTAAAAAAATTAATTATATTTTATAAATTTTGCAGAAGTCAAATAGACCTCTTGTAAATTAATTAAAATTTTTTATAAATTTAACTTTAGGTTAACTATTATTTTTACTTTGATTTTTTTAGACCTGGTCAAACATTTTGTTCATTACGTTCGTCTTTATGTTGAGTTTAACTGTTACATGGCCTGGGACACTTTTGACAAATCCAAATTTGAAAATATCTGCATTTCAAAAAGCCTTATATGCAAGTCTCCATAGGCCAATTTATGCATTTAGTATATGTTCCATTCCTCTTCTCTTGACAATAGGCGATGGTTTAGGTTAAAGAAATATATTTTTTATCTTTTTTTAAAATTGAATTAATAAACAATTGAAATTTTTATATTCTGATTCTAGGGTTTTATTACAATATATTAACAGCAAGATGGTTGCAACCACTTTCTCGTATTTCTTATGGAATTTTTATGGTTCATTTTATTGTACTCCACTTTGAATTTGGAACTACAAGAACTGCATTTACCTCTACTTGGTACAATTTTGTAAGTTCTTAAAATTGAAACGAAATTAGTTTTAGAGTGGGGCAAAATCACAAATTCTGAGCATCACAAGTCTAAACTTTCAGAACTTGTAAATTAGATTCGCAGCTTTTTTTGACAAACAACAAAAAATAAAAAATTCCGTATTTTCAAAAACACGTAAAATAACTATAACATTGTAGACAACTTTAAATATTTACAGCGTTAAAAATTAAGAGATTTAAATTGATTTTTTAAGAATATTATGATTAAATTCTAATTTGTATTTATTTGTATAGGTTAGGTTACCAAAATTCACATAATAATATTATACGACATTATTACTATCAACTATAATTTAATTATTCATCTTATTTAAAAAATAAATACTTAATTAAATAACTAGATAATCTTTCACAAACTGTTTAAATAAAATTGTTATTTGTTGTTATATAACCTTAATTTTAATCTGATAAGGATACGTGACATACAACTCATGTGTTATACCCACGAAGTAGTATAAGGAGACATATCGCTGTATATAAAAGATGGTCCCGTTTTCGGTATTCACGGTTCTCAAGTTTTCACCAATCTAATTACACTTGCGCCAACCGCGGGAAATTATGGTATTAAACTCTGTATTCTGTAAACACGTGATTTTAATACTGAGGTTTCCCTCTAGAGGCGCAAGTGTAATTAGATTGGTGAAAACTTGAGAACTGTGAATACCGAAAACAGGGCTACATTCCGTTAGAACCGGCAATAGGTGAGATGTCTCTTTATACTATGTACTTCGTGTTTATACCGCTACTATAGGCAGGGCTGAGTCGCATGACGTAAAATAATAGACTTGACCAATCAGAAGATTTCTTTATCTTGCGGGTTGGTTTCCATTGTCCCCACTCGCCAAAGTTCCCCCTCTCCATTTGTCATAATTCTCGTCAACTACAGCACCCTGCTCTAGTGAAAATTTAGTAACTTTATTAGGCTCTGTCACTTGTGACATCAGAGTCGATTCTAGGTGTGACGTCAGAGGCCTGGAGGGACAACAAACAGACAACACAATGTTATTCTTATGGGGAAGAAAATTAGTTTCCACTTTTATCAATTTTATTCATACTTTAAACATGGAAAACGCTTGTTGACATATAATAAAATTAAAATGTGTGTTGATAATTAATTTTGTTATATATTTGATTCAATTGCATTTATAGATTTTCTGAATTCGTGATAAAATATAATTTTTGAGGTTAGGGGTGTTTGTTTACTAACTTGAAATCTTTAACTGCTGCGGTAATTCCCACTTAAAAAATATGTTTTATATCTTTTTAATAACATGCATACTGGATATTGTTTAATAATGTTGTTAAAATGTAAAATGTGATTAGTTAACAAACACCCATAACCTCAAAATTTATATTTTATCACGAATTCAGAGAATCTGTCAATGCAATTGAATCAAATATATAACAAAATTAATTATCAACGCAAATTTTAATTTTATTATATGTCAACAAGCGTTTTCCATGTTTAAAGTATGAATAAAATTGATAAAAGTGGAAACTAATTTTCTTCCCCATAAGAATAACATTGTGTCGTCTGTTTGTTGTCCCTCCAGACCTCTGACGTCATATCTTGAACTCGAAATATCTCGATGAACTGACACAGACTAATAGTAACTTTTAATTTTAACAATAGAATTACTAAAGTTTCTTAGTTTGGCTCTAAATTAGTGGTTTTTCCCTATTCTATTCTAATTTTTAAATAATTTCTCGTTTTAATTAAAAAGAAATGTTTCCTTTCACAGTTTAAATATCTCGCAGCAGATATGGTATATTCTGTCTGTCTGTCATTATTCACAGCCATTGTAATAGAATTTCCAATCCGAAATATTTTTAATTTATTTATGAAAAGAAAGAGAATCGTTACGAAAAGAAAACCGTAAGAAAACCCCATGATAAATTATTATTTGCCAATGTATCTGACGCTTTACGGTAAAAGGGACCTTAGCTGCAACAAAGTTTAGGTTATGTTTCCCAATAGTTTTAGCTTGATTAAACGTTCATTTTTAATTTTGTAAAATCAAAATCAGTTTTTATTGAATATCTTGGATCTAATAAAGAAAAAAATATCAGTGGTTTGTATAATAAGAGTTATATAGTGCTCTTTGTGTATTGTCATATTCTAAAAGTCACCAAACATAACCTATAACATTTTTTGCAGTCTCTTTCTCCGAGAAGCATATATATATATATATATATAACAACTTAAATACATACTTTATTATTTAAATTGCTGTTTGTAAATATAAATAAAAATAATTTCATAAATTTTCATTTCAGATCACTAAATATCGAAGAAAAGACGAAATAATTCTTCAATGTCAATTACAAATTAATTATATGAACATGAAATGATTTAAATATATACATAACGGACATAAAGTTTTGTAAAACTATTATGATAAACCATTTTTTTTATTAGAATGTGAAAATTTTTTTTATTTATTTATTTGGGAACAATAATTTTTTTTTCTGAACTATTTTTCTTTAGTGCTGAAATAATTACAATTTAAAAAACTCCAACGAAATTAAATTATAATTGAACAATAAAAGTAAATAATTTAACAATAAATTTTTGTTAAATAATAGGAAATTTTAAATACATTCAATTCTTATGGTAAAGTTTAGTTTGAATCTCGGGTAGTAATATAATACCGATGTATTTCGTTTTATCCCGGTGCCGGTAACTATTTTTATTGAAACTAGATCTATCTATTACCATTAAGAAACATTCATGTAAGAAATGTGTCAGAAATCCGCAGGGCGGCGCGTTTTTCAGTGGCATTTTGAATTGAATTTACTTTTACATGAACATAAGAGAATGCCGGATTTTATATATGCATATGAAATATTTAATTTGACAATTATTAAGTAATTTATTATATAAAATTTGCCATAATACAAAAATAAATTATTTTTATTAACTTTTTTTTTATAAGAGAATTTAAAAAACAAAATATTTTTAATATTTATTATTTACCTACTCTCTAAATTTGAATTAATAAAAATTAATTCACTAATTGAAATTAGTACAAAATTTTCACTAATTTTTAGTAAAATATTTCTACCTTTGATTTAATAATATTTGTTTTTTAATTTTAAAAATTTTTTTTTAAATTTATTTAGTAGGGTCAGTCGGGGTAAATCCGAACGGGGGGTAAATCCGAACGCTAATTATTTCAGCTTAATTAAAATTTTTAAAAATAAGTTCGATATGAGAATTTTTACCTCAGATCCTCTTCAAGAGATTCTAAGTATTATCCCATTTTTCGTTTGTTAATTAGCAATAGCATAAACAAAGATAACGAGTATTGCAAAAAAGATTGAAAATCAAAGATGACACTCTTTCAGTATTTTGTCTCGTATTTGAAGAAAAAGAAGCTAAAAATTCATTTTATTATTTATAATTGTTTGTTATGAATACTAGAACAGAAACTATATTTGATTTTTGCCTTCTGTAAAATTTTATTAATAATATCAGACCGTTCGTATTTACCCAAGAAAATTGGAAAACTGGGGTAAATCCGAACGGTATTTTTAATAATTTTTTTTTACATCAAAGCCACACAAAATTGTTTTTATTTGATTACACTATTATTTTAACATTATAAAAGTACATAGAAAAAAGTTTTTCTTTCTATACGTATCCTCGTTAGTAATTAATAAGCAGAAACTTAATCTCTGTTCTCTCGAAGGAGTGTTTCAATTTTTTTGCCAAATGGTTTGTTGAAAAAAGTTTTTCAGGATCTTAATAAAATTTGGTATTCTACGGTTTTTGGGGTCGCTAATTACCAATTTGAAGTCAGTTTTTCAAAATTCAAAATGGCGGACGAGAATTAAAAAATTCATTGGATTCGCTCGAAAATTGTTACTCGGGGGGTTTCAGGGTTAGCAAATTTGATCATTTTTAAAAATAAGTTTTAGGAAAGTACGCCATTTTGAATTTAAAAAATTTGACTTTTATTTTTGTATTTACATTCAATCACTCCAAAATACTTTCTGTACCAAGTTTTGCAAAAATCCGTTATGATTTGATAAAGTTATTGAAGGTTTTAGTTGTGTAACGCATCTTAATTTTTAACCTGTTTGATTTTTGTATTTATATATGATGCATTATTACATAATAGGTTTATTATCGTATTTTTTTTGAGTTTTTATATAAGTTTAACAATTGCAATACTTTAAATTTATTTTCCCTAAGATTTTTCTGAAATACAGTGGCGTTCGTATTTACCCCGGTATTTTAGGAAAGTTGCAAAGTATCGAGGTAAATACGAACGCTAAGTTTCCTGCGATTGTAATTTATCAAAAATTTTTTCTACCCCATAAAATTATTCTATGGAAGTAAAGTAACAACTTCATGCACCAGAATACCGGAAGTATTGTCTTTTAAAAGAAAAAACTTATGTTATTGTTGAAACTTACTGAAAGCGTTCGGATTTACCCAAGTTGACCCTAATATATTTTTTGTAGAGAAAAATAATTTGGGACGAATAATTATGTTCTAAAAATCTCATTAGTTAGAATTTTCATTTTATGAAATTTCATTTGTCATGATTATTTTTGAGACGAATTTTTATTTGTTCGAATTAGTATTTTGCAGAATTTTCATCAAAACGATTTTCTATATTACACAATTATTATATAACCAAAAACTCACTTCACAGAATTTTTATTTGTTCGAATTTTTATTTGCTCTAATTTTTACTTAACATAATAGGCATTTTACAGACTTTTTATTGGGTAGAATTTTATTGCATAGAATTTTCTTTCAGATGAATTTTTATATACTATACAGAATTTTTACTTAAGAAAAATCATTTAACAGAATTTCTAATTGATAGAATTTTCATTTGTCCGAAATTGCAAATAACCGAACAAACAATCGACAAAAAGCTTTCGGCGCGATTTTTAAAATCAACCAATCAAAAATTATCCATAAAATTGTGATTGGTTGATTTTAAAAATCGCGCCGAAATCTTTCTGTCGATTGGTTTTTCGGCCATTTGCAATTTCGGACAAATGAAAATTCTATCAATTAGAAATTCTGTTAAATGATTTTTCGGTTAAGTAAAAATTATGTAGTATGAAAAATCGGTTATATGAAAATTATATCAAATAATAATTCGAATAAATGAAAATTTATCTGTAACAAAATTCTATGTAACGAAATTCTACCCAATAAAAATTCTTTAAAATGCCTATTATGTTAAATGAAAATTTGAGCAAATAAAAATTCTGTGAAGTGAATTTTCGATTATACAAAAATTCTGTAATATAGAAAATTGTTTTGATGAAAATTCTGCAAAATACTAATTCGAACAAATAAAAATTTGGCTCTAAAATAATTATGACAAATGAAAATTCTAACTAATGATTTTTAGAACATTCGTCCCGTTAATTTTGTCAATTTGAATTTAGATTATCGTAATCTTTTCGCGATGTTATGAAATTCAAATTGGCAAAATTAACATATTTGCAATATACAAAAGTAAGTCAAGACAACTCAAGAATTCAACTATATATTACATTAATATATATAGGTATTATTATATAATTGTTTATTTTACCTGCATCATTCTCTAATTGAAAATTAATATAAATAATTAAAATAATACAATAATTTTATATTTAATTTTTTTTTTGCAAATAAATGATACATTTGCATGAATTTAAAAAGTACATTCGTATTATGTGTGTCATCATTATTCTTTCTTTAAATACTATTTACATAAAAATAAAAATGTAAATACCAACTGATAAATTGTCTTGTGATAAATGAACATTCAACATTATCTCCATGTAAAATATTGTGACAATATAATACTTTTCTGTAAGATATTTAAAAAAAAAAATTTTTTCAAACTAAAAATATAACAACATTTTTTTCATTATTTGTAAATAAAATTTTATAAAATGACATTTAAATTAATGTTTACCTTCTACTAAAATTCTTATAAGAATCCTAATATTATTATACTATTAACGAAATACTGAATAAAAAAATAATTAATATATTTATTGAATGATTAAAGCAAATTATAATAAGAATACTATTAAATTATCATTTAACAATTGATCTATATATTATGAATATAATTTTAGTTAATATATTAATTTTATAATAAAAATTAATATAAAAATAATTTATAATTTATATTTATAAAATAATTTAAATTCGAATATTTGTAGAAAGCATAAATATTATTAGTTTTAAAAATTTCAATATTGCAATAATATTGTATAATAAAAACATCAACAACCTGTAAAAAATGAATAATAAATAAATAAATATAATTATGTTGATACTCGAACTATATATATATATATAAAATTAATAACTAATTAATATGACATATAAAATTCTTGTCCACCATATCTTTTACGACAGATTTCATCATGTTATAATATAATTTGTTCGTTTTTAAACGATTTGTCAAACTTTTTATATATTCAATATTAGTAAGAGGTTGAATATCTTCTCCTTCTTGTTGAGCGATAAGATGAATATCAACAAGTGAAAGAACAGTACAAAAAGCACCATATTTTTGTAAATGTTCAATAAGCACATTAAATGGAAATAATTTTTTAACATCACAATCCATTTTTTTTAAACAATTAGATAAAGAATCATAATAATCATTTAACAATTGGCTGCAATGTTTTCTTCTCATTTCCGGAGTGCAACATGTCATTAACATGTACATTAAATCTAAAGATGGTGAACCATAGCGACAGAGTTGATAATCCAATAGACGAATGTCAACAGGTTCGTGGTTCTGAAAAAACGAAAAGAAAAAATCACTTTCATTATTAAAAAAAAAAAATTTAATGTTTACATTGAAAACAAATTTTTTTTTTATTTAAGTAAACATTTATTTAAATATCACAGTTATTTATATAATGAAATCAATATTTAGATTAAATTTATTTTATTTATAAAAATTGAATAAATTTTTGTTAATTCAAATAAATTGGTATTCGAAATTTAATAATTTTTTATTATAAACCAAACAATTTTTTAGATAATTAATTAATTTTTAATTAATAATAATAATTATAAATAATCGCTAGTGTTTAATAATATTAAAAAATAATTACTATACCTCATTGTATTTAAATAACATATTATTTGTCCACATATCACCATGATTAAGAGTGGCATAAGGTTCAGAATTTCTGCCATCACACGCATCGTTAATTAATTGTGTTATATTTTTTTTAAGTGCCCTGACACTCTCTTTGTAATATTCATCTTCATCTTTAATTGACTATAAAATTAAATAATAAATTTATCAATTTTTTTTTTTTTTTTTTTGCTCTTTACTTTTTTTTCATTTTAAAAAATTTAAAGAAAAATATTTATTTATAATTTATCTTTTTTTTCATTGTATGGAAATAAAAATAAAATTCAAAAAAAAAATAAATTAATAAATAAATAAATTTGTTTACCTCAAGTGCAACATCCACAAGTGCATCAAAATGATCAGAAAGTTGTTCGGGAGCGGGAAATAGTGGTTCTTCAATTTTCCTCAAATGTTCAAATTCCTCAGGCCTCTTATCACGAAGTGCAAAACTACAAGCATGAAATTTACCAAGTAAACGAATTGCCATTGTTGCATGAGAATAATCCAATAATTTCGATTCTTTCATCATGTATCCTTTGGAATTTAAATCTTCCATAATTATAATCTACGAAAATTAAATAATATTAGATCAAATTCATTTCAAATCAGGCAGGCTGAAAAGTCGTTTATCTAAAATTTATAGAAAAAAAAAATTTGAAAATATTATAACTTTTAAAGTAATTTAGATGTCTAATTTATTATCTTTTTGCATTTCAAAGTACTTTCATTTTTCATTCAAAATTCGTTGGAAAAAGTTAAAAAAATGTATTGTATGGTAACGATGGTGTCTAAAATGTTTTATTGTAATCGGTTTGTTATTAACAAAAATATTAAACAAGTATGAAAAAGATGCTTCTAATTGTAAATTTTTTCAATTTTGAATTTTTTACTTTAACTTTTATATTCATTGAAATTTTATCTTGTCAACTTGTATTCTTTTTAAACTTATTAATTTTATAATTTTACCCTTCTGGTTTATAGATTTTGTAGTTATCAATAAAATTCTTAATTGTTCTTATATGAGGCAAAATTCCTGAAATGTCCGAACAAAAAATTAAAAGTTCTCGAATTTAATCCATACTTTTCTAAAATGTTGTTATTGTTGGTGAAAGTCTAAAAATCAATTATTATTGAATTTAATAAAATAGTTTTTGAATTACAACGTTCTTAATTTTTGACTTTTGAAAAAAAAATTTTTTTTCAATGTACAATATTTATAAGTAGAATGCATAAAAGTTAACATATATATAATGATTTTTAAAGCTTTTTTGACGAGCTACACGCTGTTAATAAATTTTTTTTTTTAAATAACATTTGACCTTGAAATTCAAGGTCAAAATGTTAATTTACGTTTATCTCAAAATCGGATTTTTTAAAATTATTTTTAACTATCTCAATGGAAAGCTTGACTAATTTCCTACAAAACATGTAATTTTCAGAGTGGGATCTTTTAAAGTTTTTGAGATATTAATTAATTAATTAATTAATGTTTATAACAAATGAAATATTTTACAAACGAATAAAGTTACCGTAATTCTGAAGTTAGTAATTGAAAGTAAAAGTAATTCCGCATCCAACGAGCCCTATATGAAGTATTTTGGATAAGTAGATTGTTAATAAACAATTAGTTAACATTGCAATTGTTTATAACCAATCTACTTATCCAAAATACTTCATATAGGGCTCGTTGGATGCGGAATTAGCTTAACTTTCAATTGGTTAGTTTAGATTTATGATAACTTTATTTGTTTGTAAGATATTTCATTTTTTATTGTTATTTAACTAAAATTGAACAAAAATACTTCATATAGGGCTTTTGGATGCTTGTTGTTAGTAAAAAATAAAATATTTTACAAACAAATAAAGTTATGGTAATTCTGAACTTACCAATTGAAAGTTAAGGTAATTCCACATCCAACGAGCCCTATATGAAGTATTTGGTATAAGTAGATTGTTAATAAACAATTGCAATGTTAACTAATTGTTTATTAACAATCTACTTATCCAAAATACTTCATATAGGGCTCGTTGGATGCGGAATTACGTTAACTTTCAAATACTAACTTCAGAATTACGGTAACTTTATTCGTTTGTAAAATATTTCATTTGTTATAAACATTAATTAATTAATTAATTAATATCTCAAAAACTTTAAAAGATCCCACTCTGAAAATTACATGTTTTGTAGGAAATTAGTCAAGCTTTCCATTGAGATAGTTAAAAATAATTTTAAAAAATCCGATTTTGAGATAAACGTAAATTAACATTTTGACCTTGAATTTCAAGGTCAAATGTTATTTAAAAAAAAAAATTTTATTAACAGCGTGTAGCTCGTCAAAAAAGCTTTAAAAATCATTATATATATGTTAACTTTTATGCATTCTACTTATAAATATTGTACATTGAAAAAAAATTTTTTTTTCAAAAGTCAAAAATTAAAAACGTTGTAATTCAAAAACTATTTTATTAAATTCAATAATAATTGATTTTTAGACTTTTACCAACAATAACAACATTTTAGAAAAGTATGGATTAAATTCGAGAACTTTTAATTTTTTGTTCGGACATTTCAGGAATTTTGCCTCATATGTGAATTTTGTGTATTAATGTGTTTCGTCGAGAAATCTCACTGTGTGCGTAAGTTTGGTAAATAAACAAACAATTTTAATTCAACCTAACCTATTTTCTCTTTCCTTCTATTTTATTATTTATTCCTCTAATAACAATAATAAGGTGAGTTTCAACTCTTTGTAAGTAACAAGATCCCACAAATTCTATTTTTTAGCCGCTCGAAGAATATAGTATACAATATGTAATAAAGAATATAAATTTAATTGTCTAAATTTTGAGGTTAAGTTCTTGATTTTTTTTTAATTATTTTTTTATTCTTTATAATAAATTATTTATATGTTGCGAAATCAATTAGAAATTTTGGTGACGAATTTTTAGTTTTCCTTTTAACCTTTTTCCATGCCGTGACGTAACACATCCCTGGCGGATTTGATTTACCTAAATTCGACCCAGCTGGGGCGAATCTAAGTCGAATTTAGGTAATTATCAAAAAAAAGCTTTAAATTGATGAAAATTTAAAAAATTAGTATTGTGATAGGTTAAATGAACATTTATAGAGTTAATTTTTGTAAGAATTTTAATTATTAACGTGATAAATAATAAATAATCACTTGATATGTGCAAGTGGTAACTGTAGATTTTAACTCGTTCTCAGTTTTCATAATATTTTCAAGAAATTAGTGTAAAATGTGTGAAAAAATAATTTATATTTAATAGAAATTGCAAATTTTATTAAATTATTTTATTATTTATCGAGCACAGTTTAAAATAATTGCAATTTAATTTTTAAAAAAAAGTTTTCTTAAAAGTGATAAGAACTCTACTATACCGACAGCAAGAGGATATTTTCAGGTAAGTAAAGTTATTGTTAAATTTGACAAAAAAATTGTATATTTCATTAGAATACAGTATTAATTACATTCTCATCATAATGAGAAAGTATTACATTTGCCCGATTTTGACCAACTTCTAATTCATGTAAATCTCCACGTTTCAAGCCTTTCTGATGCCAAAAAAATAGGTTTTAAAAAAATGTATGTATGTATGTCTGTCTGTAGACAAAAAAGTTTGCTCGACGATAACTCGAACAAATTTTAATAAATCGACTTCAAATTTGGTATACACTTTAAGTGTACCAAAATCTTGCCTGAGTTCGTTGGCCAGATGATTTCGTCAAAAATCAACAAATTTATTCAAATTTTGAGTTTTTAAAATTTTCAAAAATTCACATTTTAATAAAAAAAAAATTTTTTTCAATTTTTTTTCGAAAAATACGAGTAAAAAACACTTTTTTCCTCTGACAATTTTTAATAGCGTTTAAAACAAAAAAGTTATACCTCTTTTTTTAAAAAAAGGACAAAAACGGATGAAAAATGGGTAAAATGCAGGGCAAAATTACTTTATTTTGAGAAAATATGAGCAACTATGTATTATCTCTGTTTAAACCACCTTAAATTAACACAAATAACAGTGACTTACTCATAAAATTCCGATTTTTTTTTAAAATTTTTAATTAAAAATTTATTTTTACATTCTCATCATAATAAGAAAGTATTACATTTGCCCGATTTTGACCAACCTCTAATTCATGTAAATCTCCACGTTTCAAAAAATTCCAAATTTTTATTTCTTTTTTTTATAAGTCCAACTATTGTTTTCCATTTCCAAATATGGCAATTGTTTTCAAAAAATCCTCTATTTTAAAATAGTTTATATTGCGCTGTTTATACCATAATTTCGTATTTTTTTGATTATTTACTTTTGAATTAGTTAAAATTCATTTATTTGTAGATTTGTAAACTTGTAAACTATTTTTCCTTAAACACTTTTCGATACAGATTAAAACAAAAAAGTTAAAAAAGTTATGTTCTATAACGTTTAAGGTAACAAAAATTTTAAATTATTTTCGATGTGTTATTTTACTCATTAATTTTTTGCGGCCCAGTTTTAACCTATTTTGCCACCTTTTCTTTTAGCAACTTTCCTCTCTAGATTTAAAGTTTTTGAAGCAGTATTCATAAAACATTTTTTTCCACTATATTATAAAGAATTATAAATTAACTAAGTACACTGAAAAAAAAGTCTGGTTAAAATAACCAGAATTCTGGTTAATCTAACCAGAATAAAAAGTTATATATACCCTTACTACTTTTTCTGGTTAAAAGTACTAGAAAATTTGGTTAAAAAATTCTGGTTAATTTTACCAGAATTTCAAGTTAATCTTACTAGAATTTCAAGTTAATCTTACTAGAATTTTTCTAGTTAAAAATTTTTGGTAAAAAAATTTCTGGTTGATCTTACCAGAAATTCTAGTTAATCAGAGAATTAATTAAATTTATTATTATTATATTATATTATAAAATATTATAAAATATGAATTAAAAAAATTTGTATTATGTACATATAAATGCAATCAAACAATAACACCTTTACACTGCAATTCTCTTAATAATGTTTATTTAAATATGATTATTCAGAACTAAAATTCTGATAAAACGTGTCGAGCACGTTTTCAACATAACCTTCAAACTATTTTCCACACGAACGGGTTTGCCGTTCGTCAACAATTTTTTCACTTATATTATAAAATTAATTAACCAACCTTTAAACAGATCTTTTAATTCTCCCAAACCCCAATTTTCCAGAGCTTGGTTAACTTTTTCATCCATTCTTGCGATCCGCACGATAAACTATTCGAAAAAGAACATCAGACGCTATGCAGTGTCCGCGAACGCGCGTTTTTAACCAGAATTATTTTAACCAGAATAATTTAACCATACTTATTTAAGTAGAACTGTTTAGTCTTTTTAACTATATTTTCTTGTTAAAATAACTAGAAATTTTTTAACCAAACGCATCTAGTAACTTTAACCAGAACATTTTTTTCAGTGTATAAACATTGCTATTTTTTAAGAGAAAATTCATTTTTCAACAATCTTTTTAACAAATTTAAATAAATCTTTCTACTCCTTGGTTTTTTAGGTCGCTCATTACGATTCTGAAGTCAGTTTTAAAAAATTCAAAATGGCGTATTGAAACATTTTTGACGCCATATTTTTAGCATTTAAAGGTATTCTGAAGGGATAGGATTTAAAAAAATTATAAAAACTGAACAAAAATTCTAAAAGAATCTTTTTTTTAATGCTTGTAAATTGTTTATTTAAAAATTTTCGGTTCTTTTAGTACACTATTTGATAGAGCCTCAAATTACCTGTAAAAATTTCGTTAATGGGTTAATTGTATGTTCTATAATATTCTATGTCTATTGTATGTTTCTAATTTTCGAGCGTAAAACGCGAGTGCCGTGATGAGAATGTTATCCTTAAAGTCAAAGTACTTTAAGAAAATGAAACTTAATTTATTAAAATCAAAAATTTCACTTATATAAATTGTACAAAAAAATTTTATGAATAAAAACATGAGGGCAAAACCTCATATAATAAATTTGTATGCATTTACATTAAAGTTCTTTTTTTTAATGTTTTTAAATTTTCAATTAATTTTTTCTTTTACTCAATTGAAATTAGCTCGAAGCGGAATATCTTATTTTAGTAAATAATTTGGTTTGTCGATTTTCGCTAATTACAAAGACCTGGCCAATCAACGGCGCAATATAAGGAAATAAGTTTGAACAGCTGCAGTGCCGCCATTCTCTTTTTTTTGCTCGATAAAAAATTTATTCTAATACCTTTAAATCTAACCTATTTGTATATACTTTAATTTAACGCATTTTAATAAAGACTATGAGTTGTTTCTAATAAATTTTTCAAAACAAGTCGATTATATGAAGCTTCCCTTTTAAAATAACTACTTTTGTACTTATTTTAACTCTGTGTATAATTAATTTTACTCTTTTTAATAAAATTAATAAAAATAATTTCTTTCTTCTTGACATTTTACTTCAAAATTAATTAAATCAACTACAAAGTCTGAAACAACTACAAAATCTCATTCTACCAAATGGATTCTTGGGTCATTCAACTACTTTTTCGTAGTATAATTAATACAATTTTTAAATTTAATAGGAAAATTTTTGAATTACACAGTGTAGTTAAAAAGTAATTAATGCTAATAGGTTTTGAATAAAAACAAATACAAAAAAATTTGACACATTTACTTCAATTTATTCATACTTTTTGGAAGAAATAGACTTACCCTCCTCCGTAGTCAAACTTACCCGCACCTCAGATCAATTCTTCATTTTTACCATCGATATTTTAATTACAATTTATTCAATATTTTCATTAAAAGACAATTCAAATAACTATTCTCTGTTTTATTTCTGAAGGTTGTCTTTGTACTATGAAAGAGTTTTTATAGTCAAACATTAAAATTAAGTAATTTTTTTTATACTCTAAACTTTTTTTGGGCGAACTTACCCACCTTTCCCCTACCTGAATCGGGCACAATTTAAATACTTATAAAAAATATTTTTTATGGTGTGAAGAGAAACCACAAAAATATTTTGAGCAAAAAAAAAAAGTGGAGTTTTTCAGTAATTTCAATTTTTTTATTAAAATGTCCGACATTTTGTTATTTTTGAACATTTTTTAATTGTTCCAACGGATTTTGAAAGAAAAATTGAAAGCTCTTTTGAAAGCCTTATTTGAAATGAATTTGGTCATTAATTAAAATAATTTTATAAATGAAAATCAAAAACAAAAAAAAAATAAAATAAGAATCTAATAATATAATAATAATGATAATAAAAAAAAATAACAATAATTAGTACAACAATAAAAAAAAAATACCTTATTTCCTGGAGAATTACGACAACCATAATATCTTGGCACTTCCGTCATTGTCATTTCATATTTTTCGAGTAACTTCACAAACATTGGAAATCTTAATTCATAAAATGTAATTTCACTTAAAAAAAGATTTTCCGTTCTCAATAAATGTCTCATTTCACCACTAATTGGAAGACATTTAAAAATTAAATTCATTTCTGTTGTTTCACCATTTTCTTCACTTTCAATTCTAACACGATATAAACAACCCAAAAAATTATCACCATCCTTACTTGCATTTGAAAAATAAAATTTTGGATTTAAAATATTTTTTTCTTTCGCAAAACATTTGATTTCTATTTCTAATGTTTCAGGTAGATCTTGAGATAATGACATTTTGGAAAAAAAATTTTTTTTTTTTTTTTTTAAGAAAAAAAAAAGATTTATTTTCCCTTTAAGTGAAATTTTATACTTTCGATGCACTGCTAGTGTAACTTTTGCGTAGATTTTATCTGTTTGAATGATTTTCAAGGAATGCACAATTACAGGCAATGAGTAGGCTTATCATATAGTCTCCGTTACTTGTGCACTACTACTATGAGAAAAACCTCAGTCATTAAGGTAGTCAGGGACGTTTAACTTATTGAAAAGGCCCATGTTTCATTTTTATATAAATAAAAACTAAAATTAATTATTTTTAAATTATAATTAAATTTTACACATATAAAATTTATATTTTTTTTTATTTTCGCTTAAAATTACAAAAAAAAATATATATTTTTTTTAAACACATTTTTTTAAATTTAGACTGCATTTTTTTTATTGCAAAAAAAAAATAAATTCTAAGATCAATAGTCAAAGAAATATTTTTAAAATAATTTTTTGGCTCAAGAAAACGATTCTTTTTTTAAAAAAAATGTCCTTCAATAAAAGAACATTTTTTTAAAAATAAATAGTAGAAAAAGAAGTTTATTCAAGTTAATTGTTCATATTATTCAAAAATGTCATTTTTTTACAAAATTTTCAAAAAATATTTTTTATAATTCTGCTTTATAAAAAAAAAGTCACATTTTAAAAAATATCTGACACAGATTTTTATCTTTAAAGTACAAGGAAACGAATAAACACATTAAAAAGGTTTAAAATTAGATTTTTTTTTTGTTCTGTTTCTGTGAAAAGATGTGAAAAAAAATATAATTTTGCATGCATGCTAAAAATTGATAGTTTCAAAAAATATTTACGTAAAACGAATGACTGTTTTAAAAGAAAACCCCAAGAATAAACAGCAATTTAGGAAAATAAATAGTTGTAAATTCTTTTTTTTTTATTTTTTTCTTTTTTACTAATTACCTTCTATTTTATTTTTCCGTATACGCACCATTGACATACAATTACAACATTACTCAAGGTAACCAGGGACATTTTAATTCCCTATAATTTATAGAATTAGAGCAATTGTGTCACGAGGGCCGGAAAATAAAATAAATTAATTTGCACTGAAAAGTGCAACCAAAGGATTTGAAAAAAAGTATATTTATATATTTATTAGGAAATAAAATATTTTCATTAAATTTGAATATCTATATGTTTAACATTTTAAACTATAAATTAAGGGTTTGAAAAATTCATTTTCTAAATAATATGAATATATTTATTTATCAATTATATTATAAAAATATAAAATTTGACAAGTTTTTTAATCAGTATTTTATTCTTTTTAGGACCTTAATTTAATTTAATTATTTTTAATAATTAATTAATTTAATTTTAATTAATTAATTAATTTTAATTTAATTTAATTTTAATTAATAATTAAACAGTATATTAATTTTCACCTTTTTTGTTTCAAATTTTATAAAACATAATCATAAAAAAAAAAGTTGAAATTCATAGAGATTTATATTATATTAAATTGATAAATTCGAAAAAAAAGATTGTCAAATATAATTTTTTCTCAGTTTTTTATATTATAGAAATTTTTTGAAAATCTAACAAAAAATTAATTTGTATCAAAATAAAAAAAAAACATTATAAAATAATAGCCATGCTGACACGAAGTAATTATTGTTTTTCAAAAAACTACCTTTTCACTTTGTAAAAAAAATTTATTAATTTTAATTCTTACCTGTGGGCTGATTGTCTGTCTTCCGTATTGGATTTGAAACTGCAAGGACCAGGGTTCGAGTCCTGCTAACAAAAAAATTTAAAATTATTTTAAATTTTCAAAATAAAGATTAAATTTTGAATTTTTTGAAAAAATGTTAACTTTATCATAAAATGTATGAACGAACCTTTCGAAAACAAATGGCTTACATTTTTTTCACCCCTTTATATAATAGTTATGATTTTTCAAAAAATTCATTGTTCACCTTTTTGCTATTGAATCACTTGATAAATTTTGCCTCATGTATATAAATTAATATAAAGCACTATATACATGTAAAATACACTTATCATAAAAACAGATATCGTCAATTGGGACTATTATACTCAGCGCCAGTTTTTAATTAATAAAATATTCCCAGATAGTACGTAAGCTTGCAGCAACCTTGAGGCAAGCTTGCCGCTCAATATTCCCAATCTTGCACGGTAAACTTGCTGCAAGCTTCAAATGTCCCACTTGACCCAAGCTTGCATGGTAAGTTTACCGAAAGATTGCAGTACAATGTTACTGCAAGATTGCACAATAAGATTATCGCAAGATTTCTCAGTAAGCTTGCACGATAAGCTTGTAGCAAGGTTGATGCAAGGTTGCCAAGTAACCTTGCTTTGAAGCTAAAAAATTTTTTTTAAAAATCTTTCGTCAAATTTATTCTAATAAAATTTATATAAATTAGACAAAATATTTTTTAAAAAAAATTTTTTAGGTTCAAAGCAAGGTTACTTGACAACCTTGCACCAACCTTGCTGCAAGCTTACCGCGCAAGCTTACTGAGAAATCTTGCGATATTCTTATTGTGCACTCTTGCAATAACCTTACACTGTAATCTTGCAGCAACCTTACAAAAAAGTAACTGTCATTAAATTTTATGTTTTTCAAGTTAATTTTGTAACTTTTTCTCCTAAAACAATTTAAAAAGCTTGTTAGAAATTATATTAAGTTGTTTACTTAACCTAAATAATGTTAATTTAAAAAATTTTTACCTTTTCTACACAGAAAACACCTGGTCTCAAAATGAGTAGCGTACGCAACTCATTTTGCCCAGGTAAAAAAATTAACGTTAGTTTAACGTTAGGTTTTTTAAAATCTAACGAAGGTTTCAAAAAACAATATTAAATATACTTTGAAGCCTGAAAAGATATTTAAACATCAACAATATTTTTTTCCAGTTTTTTTGAAAATTAATCTTTTACCAAATATAAGTTTTAAAAATAATTAATATTAATATTAATAATTATTTTTAACAAGTTCAGAAATTAATACTTACCGAAATCTTAATAATTCTAAAAAGTTGATAATCAATTTCGTATAATTTAAAATTGAATTTTATTTTAACGATTTATTAGAAGTAGAATATAACGAAAAATTACAGTTGTAATTTAAAATTACACCAAATTCAACATCAACCATTTTTATATCAAAAATAGCAGTTATTTTAATTTGTTATAAGTTAACCGCATATTCAAATGGTTGCAGACTGACGTAGTTTAACATTATTGTATTTAAATAACTTGAAAAAATTATATTCTCTTAAGAAATCAACCTGAAAATAGCTTGTTATTAATTATACAACTTAAATGTCATCAAAGAAAAAATAAGATTACAACTAAAAAAATTGACTAAAACTGAGCTAGGAATCAAATTTTCCATTATAAAAATATAAATTTTTAATTTTTGATGATGTCAATTTGACATTTGTAGAGAAATATTAACCTGGAATCATGTTACAATCTGTTGTTGATGTTTAAACACTCTTTACAGGGTTCAAAGTACCTTTAATATATTGCTTTTCGAAACTTTCGCAAGTTTTTAGAAAAACTAACGTTAAACTAACGTTATACTAACGTTAGTCGCTAACGTTAATCTAACGTTAGTCACTAACGTTAATCTAACGTTAGTCACTAACCTTAAACTAAAGTTAATTTTTTTACCTGGGTGAAATGCACGAAAAATGAGCCAGGTTAGTGGCGCCACTGTCTATGTCGTTTAGCATTGCATGGCTTACTTTGAGTTGCAACAAAAATGAGACTATAGGTTTTTTCTGTGTAATAAATACGAAGCAAAACACACTAAAAAATAATACTTAATTTCAGTTCACTTTTGACTAAAACCTTTAACATTAGAATCATTTTTACTGAATTTCAACCTTGTGTGTATGATTTTAAGTCCTATAGAATTGACTTAATCTAGTTTTAAGACAAAAATTACGCTAGGTTCCAGGCATTTTTATTTTATAATAACAAAAAAATGTATTATTAGCATCATTTTTAAAATACATATAATTTTCCATTTATTCAAAATGACAAAAAATTTGTAAATTATATTTGTTCAATAAAATAACATGGTAATTACAGAATTGAACATTGTAGTATTAATTGTCAACAAACTTTAATTCTGAATAGGCAATAATAATAATAATAATAAAGAAATTTATACTTTAATGTGAAAATCTAATTATATTTCATGCACGGAACAGCTGTCTGTACGAATAGCGTTAGGACGTACTTGCGCGTCGACCGCGCTTTCTTAAAACTTGAATAATTTTTAAAGTTTTCAATGAATTGGTTTAATATTTTACAGAAAACTTCCTTATATAGTGATAAACAAATGTCTCACTGGAAGTTTTCTAAACTACAAAGTTCCCCGCAGACTTTTTGTCGATGAAAGTAAGAAAACGTTATTATCAACTGGTCACAATTTTTATTAAAAAAAATTTAAACAATTAATGATTTTTTAATTTTTTATTATTTTGTCGCCTTTAGTAGACCCTATTACGTGTACATCTCAAATTTGAATCAAATTCATTAATAATTGTCGGAGATACGATGATTTATGTTTTAAAACTTAATTAAATTTAACAATTTAAATTTCTCAGTTTTTGGTCTCTAGAAACTAAAATATTCGTTTTATAAAAAAATTTCAAAGGAAAAAAAGATGCGCCTTTTAATTTCCTATAATGTAGTACTTTTCAAAATTCAAAATTTTGAATTTCAATTTTCATCACTTTTTCAAATGTTTGACTGGCTCTACGGAGTCCATCCGAGCGGAGAGCGAGTTTTACTTTCCAGCTCCTCAAATATATAGATTTCAGTGAAATTTCAATATTTAACATTCAAATTTCTTAAACAATTGTTATAAAAAATTTTTGTTTAGATTTTCTATTTTCTTTTTTATCGTATTCTAGACGGTAATTGGTATTATTAAAAAAAAAATTACAAGATAAAAAAAAGGATTTCATATATAACAAACATTTAGGGTGTAATGATTTGTGACAAAATGATTATAATCCTGATCTCTATCTATGCTTGATTAAATTTCCCCAAATCTTTATACGGTCCATGTGCTACCTTTCTATTTAATTTATTTTCGTTTTCGAAATCGAGTGGTGAACTCGCACCTGGAATACTGATATTCATAGAAA